TGTTTGGACGAGTCCATTTCACACACATGGGGAAGTTTCTGGAGGCGCAGAGCCATTTGACGTCTTCGCCGAAGCGGAACCATTGACGGCATTTTTTGATTTGGCGTCAGGGATCGTAAGGCTAACGGCGTTCCCGGCCACAAACACTGACAAGCCCGCTCATTCCATGGTTTACAATGAAGTGCTCTTGGGGGTCACGTACCTTCGTAAATTTTCGATTTATTGATATTTCATGTGAAGTTTGGTTTAGTTTAGTAAGAAAAGTTCATGCAGAGACTGAGAAATGTCTGATTGGTGACCTGAAACTGCCCACACTTTCATTTTGTAAGGTCCGCAATGAAGGCCCGGGAGGGTATTCCAAGCGTCGGTGCACCAGTGCTCGCCGTTTGAGCGTGTTTCATGTCCATGGCGATGAGATTGCATCAAACCCACCTCTAAAGGTACGATATTAGTCAGGACATCCAAGCACGAGTCTACGCTTTTGTAGAAACTTAACATCTCTGCCACCTCGCAATATCTTGTATCCAACGCATTCATCATGGGTGGCGATCACACATCGCTTCTTACAAGCCCATCGCCGACCATAGGCCACTGGGACCAGATTGCAGCGCGTACTGCAAAAAATCTGATTATAGAAATCGGACCCATCCTGCCATCCATTTACGCCAGGGGCACGGCCAGGATTTGAGACGGCCCGGAGCTTACCAGGGTTTGCAACGACGAAAGGTTTGGGTCCCAATCCCAATCACAGTTGCTCTGCCGGAGGATCGAGATGAGGTATCAGTTCCACGGAGGGAGTAATTGTTCTGTTATCCCTCAGCGGTACAAAAAACACGCACGCACGCACGCACGCACGCACGCACGCACGCACGCACGCACGCACGCACGCACGCACGCACGCACGCACGCACGCACACACACACACACCACACACACACACACACACACACACACACACACACACACACACACACACACACACACACACACACACACACACACACACACACACACACACAACGGATGTACCCTGATCACAGGCCCTAGAGCAAGCACGTGCCCTATCTGGAAGAACCGTGCACATCTTTGTTTCTGCTTCCATTCATCGGCCTGCAGTGGGCGGGATAGCTTCGTGAAATAGACTCGTCCAAGCGATTAAGATGTCAATGGCTGTGTCCTGCAGCCAATAAGCGAGCTCTCATAGCTTCCTAGTGCTAAATAAGTAATGGTGCGCGCCTGTTCGTAGGCCGTAATCCACCCGAAGTGTGGCGGGCAGTAGTTGTAGGGTGTTTGCATAACGGCCGTGGTGTATTTTCAGGCAGGCATGCTTAACTTAGCCAATGTTTTAATATTTACCGATGGAACGCTCGGCAAAAATGCTTCAGGGCGCGTTCGGCCGGGGGGATTTTCAACACAATTATCTCTCTAATAGTTATCCATGGAGACTCGCCTTTTGCATTCGGCTGGTCTGGAAATTATTCCCCGGGTTCGTCTCACACGCCCCGTGCACAGCCAGCGGTCATAGCTATGCACAAAAATGAGATTCTCCGTCTCGGCCCCGCTCTGAAAATTTCCTTGAATTCACCTTCGGTAAGGAAAATTGCGTGGGGTAATTTCTGTGTTGGTAGTGCCGAATGCCTTAGCGGAAAATTTCCTGACATTGGGGATAATTTTCCGATATTATACGCCGGCCGAACGCGCCCGTAAAATGTTGTAATCCGTCGTAGCATTTACCTGATTGGCCGCCAAATGAAATTGTATAAGTTACCACATTTAAAGGACTGAAGCTGAAACAATGAACTCGACATGCATATCGAGGCGGAGAATCTGTCCTTTTCATCAAAAGTAAAGCTTAAAAGAAAATGAAATTTGAACCCAGGTGACGTCATTAGGTCGAATCATGCATTGAAGCATTGGGATGGCCACGGTCTGGAATTAACCAACAGATTGAGTAAGTGCAGGCGCGACGCTCACCTTGAAAACTGCGCGTCATTCGCCCAAGTATTTATTTACGTGGAGAGGTGACTGAGCCGCGGGCGGGCGCGGACGTTTCCAGTTTGCTCGGGAATATAGGTGGAAATACAATGTAACATCATTTTTCGAAACTCTATTCTTAAATTACTATGCGTTAGTTTTCAACTTCATGCTGGGGCTGGGCACTTTTTCAGCCTAAAAGCCGAGGGACTGTCTTGGAGAATATCCCGTATTGTCTCCTTCCCTGCCCTTTGCCTTAGTCTCAGGATTTTTAGCTGCGAAGAAGTCTGCTGTGTTCGTCGGCGTTTCGCTTTGCCTGCAAGTGATCATTATAGGCGACCCGTCGCCAGTTGGCCCCAAGTCGGGTCGAAACTTTGGAAAAATAGCATAGTTGTAGCTGGATTCCCCCCAAATGTACCCATGCAGTGTTGCCACGGGGTCTGCTGGCTGCTTACAGCGTGGTATGCCGTCGTGCAACATTTTATCAAGATGCCTCTGGGGGTTTTTGTCTAATGAGATCAGTGGAAGTTATCGCTGCCTGGTTAAGTTACCGCTAGGAACATTTTAAGGTATCCCTCGCCATTATGCATGCAATTTTAGCCCTCCAAGCATATACGCTTGTTCTTGTGCACATTCGAGCCTGTTTTAGATTAAAAGCGGTGGTGAAACCGAGGTGGTTTAACCGATGAACTGCATCATAGCATTCCGTGCGCTTCGGTGTCTACAAATAAGTGCACGGGTAGATTAATTTTAATGCTGAGTTCACTCAAAAATGGCTCGTATTGTCCGACTACTTAGTTCAACCAGTGAAAACTCGACGGGCGATGAGGGGGGGGGGGGGGAGGGGCGGCACGGTAAGCACTTCCAACATTGAAGCGATTAGAACTAGGGGCATTCCCACCCTATGGCGAAACTGAGTATGCATGCATACAGTGTCTGTACCCTTGTAGGACAATGGTAAGTGGATACCGTGGCTGATCTTCTCGTGTGCCTGTGATCACACACGGGCCTTTTCCCGCTTCAGGCAGAGGATAGTCCTTATCAATTTGCGGGTCTCCACCCGCGGATGAGGTTGTTTCGCGTAATAGGTGTGGTGAGGTCAGGTTATCAATAGCTTGACATGGGTTTGTTTGCCAGAACCATTTTGTTGGCGCTTGTTTTTTACAATCAACGAGGCACTTGATTTGAATGCTTCTAGGTCACTGCATGCTCCTTTAACCACGCATGGGCACGAAGCCAGTTTCGACTTCGGCTGCGCCTTTCCGAAGGTGTAGCTTTCCTTCAGTCACGCCGGACTCGACTCCGGCTTTGAGCTTTTTTCCACGGCTGACTTCGGCTTCGGCTACATACAATTTTTCGTCTTTATGTCATTTTTAAGTGTTAGGTACTAGTCGAAGTAGTCGCTATTAGTCCAACTAGTCACTGCTAGTCGAACAATCTGCGAATGATGGCTCCAGCTTCGACATGTTGCGATCTTAAACCCCTGGCTCTGGCTTTGTCGTGACATGCCTGCCGTAATTGCCATCTTGCTTCACAAAAGCAATCCTGTTTCTTTGGCCCCTGTGTATCACGCGATCAGGGGCGCAGTTTCCCAGAATTAGTTTGGGAGAGGGGGGGGGGGACGGAGCGGTGAAAAATGACTCAAACTGCCCAAAAAGACACCAACAAAGGGGTTTTTCATGGGGTCAGCCCACAATCTTCTCAAAGTTGGGGGGGGGGGGGAGGATGCCCCAAGTGAATAGGAAACCGCAGCCCCGCACGCGGAGGTTACAGCTGCGACCGCTCTATGAGTTCTATAGGGAGTGCAACACGAGCGTGATTGAAAGCCAAAAACCAGCTCGTCATTCTCAGAAGTCGGCACCACCTAACATCTGACAACGGCCGGAGAAGTGATTATCTGAAGCGCTGTGTTTATGCTGACACACGAGACAGGACCACGGATCCGAACAAACGTGTTCCGTTTGGTACATAACCACCTCGTAATCATTGCCCCGCGAGACCCCAATGATAGTCCAATATCTTATTCAGGTTTGGCATACGCGGAGATGGTTTTCGGTCTGCAGAGCAGCTTCTCATCCTACATTCGGCTTCGCCCTCGGTAGCTGACTTAGCTGATGAGTTCGTCTTTTGACCCCGGTGTTTCGTAAGCTGGAGCCGCGGACGTCATCTTCGGCCACGCGTGGACAAAGTTCGAAGTCAGTGGCTGTGTATTCGACTTTAGTTTTTGTTTCACAGCGCAATCAGGTTTGGTGCTTACTTGGTGGGATGACAAATACAAAGCGTAGGTATTCGATCTGGGCCATATTTGTCTGTTGCCGCGTTTTGCGATGCCATTTTGCACCTGTCCGTTGTCCGTATCTTGTTTCTCCACATATAAGATAGCAATGTGGTTCTTCCAGTGTTGTCGGTCTCATAGCGGATAAAAACGCATTTTTTGCTTTTAGGAATGTCGTAGTACAGGTCTTTTTGCTATAAATTATATTAACAAGGATCATGTGTTCAGTTCGGACGCACCGTTTTTTATATCACTGTAAGAAGTGACGCGAAATGCTGCTGGTTGTGCTTCTTTTGCGGTCGTGCCGTTACACGACTGTAATTTCCAGATTTGGAAGGATGGGTGGCGAAATATATGTCTACACAGGTCCTCAATCCTCTTCACCATTTAAAACTGAACGTTTGAAAAATGGATAATAGGTGCGTTGAAATTGTTTAAAATGGGCAGCCAATATGTCTGGTCCAGACGCTACGGGCAGCAAGTGGATTGGATGCAGGCAAGCCTAGCTAGCGGGGCCGATGGCCACTTCTCGGGAGCGTGACCGGCTATCGGCTCGCGCCGGGATGTGGCGGCGCGTGTCGCAGCAACGCGCCGCTGCAGGCGCCCGCTCGGCGGCGGCGGCGGCGGCGGCGCGACGGTTATCGCGCGCCCCGCCGCCGCCGCTGCTCCAGCGTAGGCCCGGCCTTTGCCGTCAGTCGACAGTCGAGAGGAGCCGCCGGCACTTGTCATCTCGTCGACCGGGTCACTCGTCATGGCGTGGTCTGGCATCGATCAGGAGGACGCGAGCAAGACCGGCAAGGACGCCACATCGTCCACCAACGCCTCCCGCAAGTCCATTTCGTGCCTTCTTGCTCGGGCGATGTCTCGATGGGGCTCCCGATCACGGTGCTTTGGGTCGTTGAGTGCTGTGGTTGCGTATAGCTAGCATGTCACGGCCATTGTGTCGGAGTTTATTCCGGCCGGGCTGTGCATATTAAATGTCACGGCGACCACGCAGGTCATACTTACACCGATCTTAAATAATAAAAAAACAAGACCTGACTGGTGGTTGCTGCGAAGTCATCTGCCACAGATTGGAAGGAGATTTTCTGCTACGTTTGGTCGTGCTCCCTCTTGACGCTGGTGTGTCGACCACGATAAGAGTGGCCCCAATGCTGCTGCGGATTGCTATAATTCAGCGCTGCACTGCAGCTGCTCTTGCAGGCTGCACAGCCAGGGCGGGCTTAGTCTTTGCAAAATCGTTTTCCTTTTCGGTATGTTCGATCCCCCACTTGTGTGTGCGTTTCATCAGCCAGCAGTGTCTGGGGCTCGTCAGTGCATGTGCGTGTGTCCAGCGCGGTGGATACACATGCCTCAAGTCCTGGGCTTCCGCGTCGTATCGTCCTCAATGGCACTTCCGTGTCAGCACACCACCCCGGTGGCGTCATACCCCAGACCCTTGGGCGCTAACAGGGCCAATTAGTCCCTGGCGGCGTTCCATGAAAGGGGCGTTACGACGCGCGCGGCGTTCCTTAAAACAAAAGAATGAGCGCACCTGTGCCGCGTTATTTATTTGGCTTGGTGTGCAAATTCTCGGTGTGCATTCTCGCCATGGATCTGATTTGCCGGGCATGTCTCACATTGGGGTGGCGGGGAGGGAGGGGGGGGGGGGGACGAGAACCCCATTGTTTAACCCTCGCGCCCTGATTTACCGTTTTTCATAAGCGCATTGATAGGTGGAGCGGAGACGGGGGGGGGGGGCCTACGATCCACCCTGCCGTTTCCAAACTAAGAAAGAGCCTAACTAAGCCTAGCCAAGAAATGATTGGTCAATACTACGTCAGTGATTGACTCCACTATGTCAGGTCAAATGTCAAGTTGTCATGAAAAGCGAGCTATTTTAGCTTGATATGTTCATATGTACAAAAAACACGGTAGAAGCGACACGAAACAAGCTGTTGCACCCTCCCGTCCCCGTCCCTCCTTGATATCAGGGCGAGGGCTAATGCATGAATAAAACTAAGGGTAAGCAACCCATTCGGCCCCTTGGATATCTTGAAAGCTTTATGGCCGATATCGGCAACGAAACGGCGTTCTATGCATTCCGACGTTGTGTACATTCCAATAAAGGAAGCCTCGGGACGGTCTGAAAGAGGTAACAGGGACCAAACAAGATATCAGGGGTGTTTATGATCCAACGCGAGTGGCACGTTTATCAGGTGATTTTTACAGAACGAATGCGTAGCAATAATTAATTATTGAAATAGTGCTAGACTGTGTTTTTTTAATTCGAAGTTCATTAACATGTTAAGGAGACAAACAGTGAGGATAAAAATCCTCAAAACAGGCGTTAATTGAACTGATGCCGGAAGAAACGGTCGTGCGTTGCTATGACATGAGAAAAGAACACATATGCCCGAATCGTTGTGGCAGACGCTACCAGGGGTGATAATGAGTCTGAAAAGTAAAAGATTTCCACTGTCGGCCATAATGCTGATGTCAGCTCGTAATTGTTTACTGTAATAATCTTGCCTCCCCCCCCCCCCTTGTTTGTCGCTCTTGTCGCCGCTTTTGGTGCCCGTCTCCAGTTTGGCGTGTTGCCTTCGACATGCAGTTATTTTTTTTTACGTGATGTTCCTGGCACAGGAGCAAAATGGTACGTAACATGGCGTTTTAATGTTTGATGTGTCAAATTAAACAAGCCCATTCGCTTCCATCACTTTGGGGCGATGACGACAAGAAGTCTTCCCTTCGAAGCGCTTCACGCGGGGATCTTTTTTCGTGCTTTATCCATTCACCGTACTTGTCAAGGTTATACACCTTACCTCTCTACACCCCTTCTGCTCCACATGAACACGCATTTGTCACTGTTTATGTGAATTGGTTGTGTAATAATGAACAGAAAATGCAAAGCTTTAGATCTAAGTACCAAGGAGTATCCCTTACCTAGCTTCATTGATGGCCTGCAAAGCTCTTCCGCCTGTGAGAAAGCTCCCCTTTTTTAGCCCCGCGCCTACCGCTGTCATTTTACTTTTAGTGTACGGCAACGGTGACTCTTATGGTGACACCTTCAGTGAACCAGAAACGGCATGATCTCACCAGAAAAGCGTAGAACATGATAAACGGCGTGTGTTAGACGGGTTTTGTCAAGAAATGTCATAATGTCAAGAAGTTTTCATAATGTCGCGGAAGAAAAGCCTCAACCTTGTGTCATGCGGTGTGTGATGTCATATTCAGCCAACCACCAGCCGGCAGCAGCAGTTAACGGCCAGGCTGTTGGCCGCTTGTGCTGTCATTCCTGGTCATCTGACGGGTGTCAAGAGTCCGGTATGAACGTCGGGTAGAGAAATTGCATCCAAGATCAAGAACTGGGAATGTTGAACTCAAGGATATCAATATCCATTAACGTGCTTAGTGCCCGCCTTCTAGTCTCAAAATTATGTACAGAGATAAAGTATTTCGGTCAAAGATTGCGGGTGTACACGGTCAAACTGTTGAACAAGTGTACTTTATGCTTATTTTGAAATGCACTTAAAAGAGGGCGTGCTGCTTTAAGTGTTATCAACGGGTTTTGTGAAGTTCTATGCCCTTCTGACCGGTGCTTTCTATTCGACACCGCCTGCACCCGACCGGGTACTCCGAGCGTCAGCTGAACCTGATCGTCGCTGACACCGGGCGTTCAGCGGCGCGTCCGCCGAGTCCTACTCGATGGGACAGGTCCACTGCAGAGCTGCTGTCCGCGCGGCCGGCCGTGCTGCTGCCCCTCGTGACCCGTCTGACGCGTCTCACGCCGCCCGCCCGTTTGCAGTGTCAGGCGGCCAGCCGTGCCGCTGCCCCTCGTCACCCGTCTGACGCGTCTCACGCCGTCCGCCCGTTTGCAGCGTCGAGCGGCCGGCCGTGCTGCTGCCCCTCGTCACCCGCCTGACGCGTCTCACGCCGCCCGCCCGTTTGCAGCGTCAGGCGGCCAGCCGTGCCGCTGCCCCTCGTCACCCGTCTGACGCGTCTCACGCCGTCCGCCCGTTTGCAGTGTCGAGCGGCCGGCCGTGCTGCTGCCCCTCGTCACCCGTCTGACGCGTCTCACGCCGTCCGCCCGTTTGCAGCGTCGAGCGGCCAGCCGTGCTGCTGCCCCTCGTCACCCGTCTGACGCGTCTCACGCCGTCCGCCCGTTTGCAGTGTCAGGCGGCCGGCCGTGCTGCTGCCCCTTGTTACCCGTCTGACGCCTCTCACGCCGCCCGCCCGTTTGCAGTGTCGAGCGGCCGGCGTGCCGACTACGACGCGGCGCTCTCGGCCATAGGGTTCGGCCGCTTCCACTGGTGGCTGCTAATCACCATCGGCTGGGCGAACGCGGCAGACGCCGTCGAGCTGCTGTGCGTCTCCTCCCTGCTGCCGGCCGCTGAATGTGACCTGCACATGACGCCCGAGCAGAAGGGCTACCTCTCGTCGTCGGCGTTCGTTGGTGAGAGGCACGGCCGAGTGGTGCTGGCTTGGGTTCATGCCGGTTCGTTGTATTGCCCTCTGCTCGTGTGTCATGACTCGAAGACTTGAATCATTTGAAATGAATGTCACGTCAGCAGGGACAGCAGCAGGATTTTCCACACTGGAAGATATTGAGGCAGCATGAAGCGTGACGAAATAGGCTCATTTGTAACTCATCGTATGGTTTTACGTGCAAAAGACCGCTCTAGACAACACAGCTTTGCTATTTAGTAAATATGCTCCTCAATACGTTATCGTTTGGTTTCTTCATGGAATGTTTACATGACTTCGGTGGCTGTCAAACTAGCCGTGGGGTAAGCTTGCTTTACGGTGCTGGAGCAGGTTTTTTGAATGTCAAAAAGTGGTAGTCCTAGTGGGGAATGTATCCTGTGCAAAAAGAACATGCTCTGTTATATACCAAGACTTTTATATAAAGCACTCGGTGCATAGCATGATAGCACTAGCTGTATGCTTTTTTCTATTATGTAGTCAGGATAGTTCTCATTGAGATTGAAGGGAGTGTCGCATCTTTAGCGCACTCCAGTGAAACACCAGGACTAGTTGGTGTAACAATAGCGATCAATAGTGTTACTGCGGCACTGTCAAGACATAAAAAAGGCATCGTGTTTCATTATTTTCGAGTCCAAATTATGCTGTCAACGCTTTGTAACAACAGTACGCTTCTCTGCAGTCGCAACCTCGTTGTCATGACAATGACCGTGCGTACCTCTACTGGTGTGAATAAAAGAACGTCTGCGATTGGCTCAGCGGGAGGGGCCCGTTACCGAGAAGTTGGATTGCGGAAGTTCGGACCAGTGCGTCACATGAATCATGCGATACTCACATTCCCCAAGCTAAAGTGCACCTCGAAAAGAGCCTCTTTGATAAACGTCATACGGGTGAAATCAGGGTCATGGTATAACGTTTCGTTGAATTCGCAAGATCATAGCTTCATATTCGCATATATTTTGTCTAAACAAAGTGTTTGAAACTTGCGTAGCTTTTTTACACAAACATTTTGAAACATTGGTGCGCTGTAAACATTATAGAGCATAGGCGTTGAAAAAAGGAAGGCAAATGAAATGCATTGCTTTTAAAGTTGTGAGCAGGGAATCAAAGAAAATATCTCCCGCATGGTCCGCTGTTTAAATAGAAATTCTGATCTGTTCAGAAATCTTTCGAGAAAACTGGTATCACTGATCGAATCATAACTGTCTGACGTAAGATAAAGTGAAAAGTACAAGAACGTGGGATGTAGTTCACAGTTCTGCCCTTCTAAGGCCTAAGCCATGCTGGTTTCTGAGCTACACGCCCACGAAAATGTGCTGACTTTTTCAGGAATACGATACAAGGTCACCCAGTGATCCATGGCGCCATAATAGCGTCATTCAAATCGTGCGATTTCATTGGCCATGCGGCGATCAATGTCAGGATAATTATCATTATTGAGTCGTTCATATCTTAAGATATTGGCAAAAAGAATCCCCAGCGACAGTTTTGCCAGCTTAGAATGGTGGGCTGCAAACATAAGCATTGCTGGGTGAAAAAGTTATCGCGCGGTAGTGTTCGTGGCCTTTTTCGCGCGGTGTCCTTAATGTAGATACCGGGTCCACTTCGGCTCCAAAATGCGTAGAACTAATACAGAACCGGAAATATTCGCCGCGGCAGTTTTAAACCGGGCTCTGTGCTGAAGATATGATAAACCCCGGCACTCAACACACCGTCTCACTAGTATAATGTAGGTTCAACGAGCTCACTTTACCTCGCGCCCTTATCAGATCGCTTCAAAAGACTTCCGCCTTGCCAAGCAGCTCCACGACTCTCAGCCGCACTGTAACCTGTCTGATACTATCAAGCCCACTGCCGGATGGTCTTCTTTGCCGAACTATACACGAACGCTAGTGATGGAAGGCGACCTACCCCCGTGCGTGACGTTGCATCACGCCTGTGACCAGTATGACATCAGCGCTCCACCCACACTGGCTTCTAGGAACGATGATTGGTGTGCCTGGTTGGTTATTTATGCGCTTTTGTGAGCATTTTACGCGTTGTGGTCAACAGGTTCGCTCAAAGGCAATGTCTGTGAATCGTCATCTTGGTAACTACTTTGGCCAACAGATATTGTCTCTTACTGGATTGGCTCCTTCGGCAAAGGGGCACCAAAAACCTTCGTTTCGGAAGATCATTATCTTGTTTTCAAGGGGCACTCGAATCCATGGACGCCATAAATTGTCCGGAGCCTTCATGTAGATGAAGTTGAAATTCCAGGGCACCTTAATTGGCCGGAAAATCTTGATTTTCCCTACGAACCAAATTTTAAGGTCACCACCATCGGGGGTGTACATAGGCGAAGGGGAGGGGGCACGGAGCACGTAACCTTCCCCCTTAGGTCCTTAGGTCACGAGGGGCCCTTTGGTTTGCTTGGGGTCTATCAATTAAGAGCCCGATTTGAGGGCCCGAAGAGCAGGCCGAAGATCATATTAATGGACCCAAGCCCGAAAGCCGGACTCAAATGGCAATCAGAGGGCACCTTGCATCGATCGGAGCTCTCTGGGACAGCGAGGGCCTCTGTGTCAGTCAGCTGACTGAGACCACCAATACCGGACAGTGGGCTTCGTACCGGTCTGGGCCGGAGGGGCCATTTCCCATGCGGTGGCAAAACTGGAGCCTGTAATTACCAGTCCGAGGGCCTCTTGCACCGGCCGGGCCCCTGAAACAGCGAAGGGCCCCTGTACTGGTCATGGACCCGGAGCCTAACAGGGTACCCTGAATCGCAGTGGTCTCCAGGTCGGCCAGAGCACATTGGCTGAACAGGGACAGGGACGGGGGCCCGGATGTCAAAGGATCTCTTGTGTTGGTCTTATGTCCATTGACATCGAAAGGATATGTGAAAAATGACGATGCAAGGGTTCACATCCACAATAAGGCCGTGGAAAGGCCCTGTGACAGCCACGAGGGTCCAGTACCTAACGAGGGCTCTCCGCATTATTTCAACCAGTGACTGATAAGTCTGACTGATGTTTTGGTGGCAATCAGAATGCTCCCTGTGCTGGTAAGGGGCGCTCTTGCATCTGTGAGGGCCCCAGCGTCGATTCGATGTGAGATGTCCCGTTTGGAGGGCTGCCGCATGAGGAAGGGGGACCGATGTGTGATGTGCCATTCTAAGGACCTCTGTATGGACCAGGGGAACCCTGTCCTCCTGTAATCAGAATGGCAGCCGCTAGGGACTGCAGCACTCCAAGAGTCGACCGACATTACCCCTGCATTCTTACCTCTCAGACCAAACTGACTCGCGCATGCGCCCGGCCGCGCCTGCGCCCGGCCGGCGCCGCTAACCGCACTTGTAACCGCGCACCGAGCGGCGGCTGTCAGCCCCGTGACTCACGTCCACAGCCAGCGACGCACAACGCGTGACAGGAAAGCTGGGCTGGAACGGCGACGCATAACACACTGCAGGGATCCCGGGCTGGAACGGAACGCCCTTCAGCTTTCGACCAGCGTGTGTTGCCTGTGCAGCGTCAAAGTCGATTCTTTGGACGGAATTAGCAGTCACACCAACATGACCAGTAGAGGTTGCACCAACACGTCAGGTTGGTGGCGCTGCACGTGCTACTCCGTCCCAAGTATCAATCTGCATATCGGGCGCGGGAACCTGCGGCCCGACGACGACAAGGACAACGACCTTCTTCAAGTGATCAGTTGTTTTCTAAAGCGTTCGAAAATGCCACTTTCCGATGCGTGGTCGTTTTCGCTCGCTAGTTGACCGCCGCCACTGGGCATTAGCTGCGGGACCGATGCCGCGCGGCCCGTGGAGGCTGCAAAGCCGGGTATCGGCGCGTCTCCCAGACGGCAAGCGCAGGCGTTTTGCTGATGACATCCACAAAGGGTGGGCTTGCACGGGCGAAGAGGACGGAACACATCAGTGCAAATCGTTGACACTGTTTCAGTTTTGTTCAACGCTATCGTTCGATGCCCGAACCCCCTCCCTATCTGTGTGATGGCCGCGAAATTCCGGCAACTGCCCTGACTATCGCTTTATGGGAAGGGCCAGATGCATGCTTGATTGTGTTGCCTGTTACGTCTGGCTTCCCGGTTTTGGCGAATAAGTTCAGCATAAAGTTATGTATGTTGGATATTGTTGGCCACGCTATCTGCGCGAGGATTTCCTTGTCGCCAATAGCGCTGTCGCTGACGCCTCCAGATGTCCGAGGAGCCATTCCTCCATACCATTTGGGTGTTGCCATTGACCACGATGGTAGTGTGATTGGATTGTTGCACGCCAGCGTCAAATGCGTGCGGTTATTTCAGATGGGTGGGCCCGGGTAAGTTCCATTAACGGAAGCCGTCGGCGGCTGTCGTGCCGTGGATCAGCATCAGTAGCACGCCGGTTTCTGGTGACGGCTGTGACTCGCGATGATGGCACCACCATCACAGCGACAGGCAAAAGAAGTAGTCGCGCAAGGAAGTAGTCTGTCCGGACCTTTGTAAGCTGGTTTAGTGCGGATTGTTGTCTACTGTATGCCTGCCATGTCAAGTTCCCGCTCATGTCCACAATGTGCGCACGTGCGCTCGACGACGGTTGGCGACTGGTGACCTGCTCCCCTGTATCCCTGCGACTGCGAAGCCCCGAGCATTGTCCCGACTGTCGCAGGTCTGATGATCGGCGGCTACGTCTGGGGCGGCCTCGGCGACGCCATCGGCAGGAAGGCGACGCTGATCTCGGCGCTGCTCTTTAACGCCCTCTTCGGTGCCCTGTCGTCCGTGATGCAGACGTACTGGCCATTCCTGGTCTGTCGCTTCCTCAGCGGTGTGGGGTACGTGTGTCGAGGGAGGTGTGTGCCCGGCTGGGGTGCGTTGTACCCAGCGGGGGTGCGCGCTGGAAGGGGGAGGGGAGGAGGTGCCCAGCAATGGCGCGTAGTAACGGGAGGAAGAATGTGCCGGTGTCAAGATATTGGCGCTGCTGCGAGTAGTGCGTACGACAGAACTGCGTCGGCAATGGTCAAACGCGACATTATGTCTGCCGCTACAAATTCAGCGGTTATAAGCTCATGAAGCTCATGCCTCAAAGATTATACCCGACATTACTCCTGCTTTGAAAGCCTCCGTAGTCTTGGCGTACACGCGGCATAACTTCTGTGAGGGTGAGATGCGCACCCAGCAGGCGTGCCTGCCGGGGCGAGGCCTGCACCCAGCAGGCGTGCCTACCGGGGCGAGGCGTGCACACAGCAGGCGTGCCTGCCGGCCAGCAGGCGTGCCTACCGGGGCGGGGTGTGCACACAGCGAGAGTGTGCGGTGGGAGGGGAGGTGTCTGCCTGGCGAGTGTACGTAGTGTAGAGGGTTAGGCGTGGTGTATACCCAGCAGGGGTATACCAGCCGTGGCTGAGGTATACACGTATCTAGGATTGTAGCACGAAGCAACCATGCCTAGCTGTTCTCAGACGATGTAGTCATTTCCCCTGCAGTAGGCCAATCTGAACGTGAGATACCAAAGATCTTGGCTGAGGCTGATGCTATGAACTACGTTCAAATCTGGAACGAACCAGTGGCTCGTTTCAAGCAAGAACACAATTATTTCGTCGTAGTGCTCTCGCTGCGGCGGATGCCCTCGGTGGACCGGCCGTTCCTGAACAGCCAACGCCGAAAACAGATGAACCGCCTCTGGGTGGCCACCGCTGCCGAGCTTATCTCGCCACCACCAAGGTGGCACACTAGATGGAGATGTAGCGACGTGCCAAGCGTCTTCGGAATTTTTTGACCACCTGCCGGGTGCTGGATGGGAGGCCCGTGGCCTCGTTCGAAGTCCACGTCCACTGTCTCCGGGCGCAGAGACGCAGGCTGTCACTGTTCCTCGCCGTGCGCGTTTCGTAATGTTTCGAGACGTTACGATACTGGCCGAGCGTATCACGGCGCTTCGCGAAAAACAGGCGCGCGCGGAGAGCTCCTCTCACTACTGCCCGGCGGCGGGGCGGGAGTGGTGTTGAAGTGGCTCTCGAGTGGCGACTGTGCCCTGTAACCTGTCGGCGGGCGCCGAGTGATCCTCGCGCCGCTGGGGGGGGGGGGGGGGGGGGGACAGGGAGGTGATACCGGCGTCCTGCCAGGTGGCCCCGCACGCCGGCACGTTTGGACTTGCGCTGTCACCTGGCTGACACCGTCGTGACGTGTGCTTGCCTAGTCCATAGGTTGTGTAGTTTTTTCGTACTTTTATTTGTTGGCTTTTGCACAGGGCTTGTGGCACTCAGCACAGTATGCCTGTTCTGAGCCTCGTGCCGAGACATTGCGTGGGACGCTGGGGCAAGTGGACGTTGCTCACCAACAACCCAAAGCATACACGCGGTCATCCATCGCAATAGGAGCCGAGTTGTCAGTAATCGGCACCTAGTTTATGGGTTTATGGTTTAGGCGTTTATGACCTCGATCTTCAAACGCACCGGGTCCATTGCACGGATAGCTGCCAGGGCATCATTAAATGCCGTCGCGGTCGGGTGATTACACCTCCGCCTCTCAGGCTCGGAGCGTATCGGAGCGGTCGCGAGTCGCTGACAGTGTCTAGTGGTACAATGGTGAATGTCATGCCTGGTAACAAGATCACGAGCGGGTTACTCGGGCTCGGATGTCGTCAGAATTGTCCTGAGAGCAGCGAGGCCGTGGTACAAGTGCATATTCCCCGCTTAAAGCTACTTGGGGGTCTCGTGGAACATCACTGATACGGTCATCTTTCTTCGTCCGTAAATAACCTTTGCTAAGAACCTTAAAAGCTTCTGCAGCTGGCCTAGTTGAGTGCTTGCTCCGTAAAGCGAATTCAACGAAATGTATCAACAAACTGTACTAAACCATGTTGAGATGCATATTTGGTTACATACATGATTCTGATAGCACTGATGGCGCGCTGCCGCCACACGGCGACGGTGACTGGGTTGGTGCGGGCAAGGTAAGCGGCCAGCAGTGCCAGACTGCCCGCTTTGCTGTCCCAGAGGCTGCCATACTAGACCTGATCATGAAGGTCCTCACGCCCGTGCAGCTGGCACCCAGCCACTGTCGCGCCGCGTGTGACGACTGAACGACGCCTGATGCTGCCGCCTTCGTACAGCATGGAAACCGTTGAAACAGATCAGCCGTGTTTCGCGAGCGTATGGTAGAATGATTTGAACGAGCGGCACTTTGTTTGGCGTGCCGAGGTGTTGGATATGGCTGTTTGCGTGCCGCGCCTCTTTGCGGGGATGATCCTTTGCGACGGTGTGCTTGCCGGTGTCTGCGTGTTATCACCAATACGATACACGACCTTTACATCTCGTTTCAGGGTCGGCGGCGCAACCCCGCTGGTGTTCTCGTACTTTTCCGAGTTCTCGCCGAAGGAGTACCGCGGCCGGATGATCAGCTTCGTGTCCTACTTCTGGATCATTGGCAACGTCGTGGTGGCAGGTTAGCGGACCGGCAGTCTGACGTGACGCATTGGTTCATGCTCGCCAGTACCTGTTCTCTCTCCTGGGTGCATTGTGTGCACTGAGTGTGTAGGTCGTCTGGGGCGTAGCCGGACAAGGCGTGGCGCCAGCAGCTGATGCGGGGTGAGGCAATGTGAGCACGGTTGGATGCAGCAGTTATCCCTGGTGGATGGCCGGGAATTAGCCTTTGATATATGATGGAGACAACGTTTGCAGTTAGTTCAAATGACAGGAAGCGTTTCATTTGTAACCTGAGAGCCGTTGCGCCCTTGCCAATGCGGCGTGTTTGGCCTGCGGCAACGGGTCAGGCCTGGTGGCTCCCGCTAAGGCATGTCATGTGGTATTGACCTCTTACCGAGACCTTCCATCCGCCCCATGGGGGGGGGTCCTCTCCATTGACACCTTTGTCCGGACGCACGCCTGGCCGGCGCGATGTGCCTTTGCTGCTCTCACGTCTGGCGTAGGGGTGTGGGGATGATCCGTTGCCCTGGCCGTATATTTCAACCTGCTTAACATCTGGCGCTGTGGTGTCAGCAATATCTGTGAAGCCAAACAGCTTGGGGAGCGTAATGGCCGAGTGGCTGGCGCCTTGGACTCCCGCGTGGTAGCCTGGGTTCAAATCCCGCACACGACACGGCCCCTGAGCGCCAGTGGGACCTATGTAGTCGCTGACGCTCCCTGAAAGAGGCTTGACGACGTGCGTTGCGTTCCCTTTTGTATAAAAAAGAAGGCAAGCAGCTTATCATTGCGCCTGTGGCTGCGGGGCAGCAACATGTCGCGCTGGTTAGGTGGGGGCGGGGCAACGCTCCACTGCTCCGCTCTGTCGAACGACTTCTAGGCTTCGGGATTTGTTGACCATTGCCGCCGTGTCCTGAGCGTGCTCTTTAGGGGCGATACACGTGACTAGTGCGTGCCTCCGGCACCCGCCTCGCGCGCCGCCAGCCGGTGCTTCTGGACAAAGGTCGCGGTGGCCGCATTCCGGGCCGCTCAGGTTTCACCGAGTCATGACTTGGATGCGTCGCTGTGGTCCGTTTTGCGATTGCCTTGACAGTGCTTTGTGATTTTGCTACGAAGGCCTGTCCCGTGCATCACGAAGGCTGGCGCTGTGGTCGTTGTAGCGCTGCTGGACATTGGAACGCTTATAGTTTGAGGTTCCCTGTGACACGCCCTATGAGGACGTGGCGATGATGCAGTTTTTGTTCCGTGTTTCAGCTATGGCGTGGATTGTGATACCACGTCACATAGGATACATATCGAGCTCTTTCAAGTATGATTCTTGGCGCATCTTCGTCCTTTTATCAACGTACGTATCAGACCATGCTTCCCACATGGTCCCAGCCAGCCTGCTCTACCCTTGTGTTGGCACTGATCCTACCCGTAGAGATGTTGATAAGCCTGTCTACAAGGCACACCACATATTATTGCTAGTTGGCCTTGACGGGCCGTTGATTGACGCACGCGTCTTTTCGAGGAGTGCGCCGCGAAGTGTCTCGCTGATCAGCGTCATAGGCCCAGCGAAATGCATAAGCGTCCTCAATGCCTATGTGTAGTACTGAGTTGCCAGGTGTGTTGTCACACGCGCGTGCACGCACGGAGACACACGCACACGCACGCACGCACGCACGCACGCACACACACGCACGCGCACCTTAAATCCTTCATTCTGAGTTATGGATGTATTTGTTGAGTTGGATAGCGTATGATCTCACTCCGTGTGTTTGTTGCCCTCTCGGCATCCAGGAAGGAGGGAGGGGGATGGTATGCCGGACGCACGGGCCCTGCCGTGTCCTGACCGACGCTGACCCGTGCCTCCTGCCGCCGGGCCCTGACCGTCGCTGGCCCGTACCTCCTGCGCCGCAGTCTGCCGCGACACTGACCCGTACCTCCTGCGCCGCAGTCTGCCGTGACACTGACCCGTACCTCCTGCCCCGCAGTATGCCGAGCTTCCTCTCTGGTCTGGCGTTGACGCGGTTTCCTCGCAGCGCCCAGTATCTTCTATCCAAGGGCCGCAATGAAGAGGCACTCGAGATTCTGCGGAGTGTGTACCGCTTCAATGGCGGCAAGGTGGACGATTATCCGGTACGTGTCTTGGCGAAGTGGCAATCTCGCGCGATGGCATTCACCACAGGTCGACCGCCGAGATGCGAATGGGTTACCCTCGTTGTCAGATTGTCATACTTGCTCTTCCGTAGGGTTTTCCGGTAGTCTAAATTAAACTTTGATATATTTAACCTGGCCTACAAGCTGGCAAGGTAGGTTTTTGTGGTAACTCGTATGTTCTATGAAGCTGATGCGCCTGGACACACTACACATCCTGTGCATCATTCGAAAGCTTGCAACTTGGGACATTATAACGCACATTTTGTACGATTGAGTTGAAGATGTTGAGTTGAAGATGATTGAGTCGTGATGTGACCGGGGTTGGCCTGATCCAGGTGAATTCTATAATATGGTTGGCTGTAATTTGCTAGCTTAGCCACAATTTGGAAGGTGCAGTATTTAAAAAGCTCTAAGATTCGGGCGTCGAAGTGATATCTTGTAATTTGCCTTAAAGTGGCTTGTCAGGTTATGAGTCCACATCAATATTATTTTTTTATTTTTTCGCTTATGCCACTTCAGTGCGTAAAGTGTGTTTCCTCCAAGGAGGCTCGGCTTTGCCTCTAGAAATGGGTATGAAACTCCATTCGCTTTGGTAGGAAAATGGATGGGAATGTCTGACAGATACTTGTGAGGAGTATGAAATGCTGTAGTTGACCGGTCGTCATTTTCAGTGTGCTCAACATCTGAGTGAGGGGGTCCAATCATCGTTAGTGTTTCTGGTTTCGGTAAAGTTTGCTTCGTTGGACGGTTAAAAACAAAAGCTGTCCTTACCGTGAATTTCGGACTTCACGAATGTGATGCTAGTTCGGTACCGTCTTGGGTTGATGGTTGGGTCGAAATAAATGATAAACGACAACATTACTCACCAGCATACGTTAAGGTGTGGCGGTAATGTTGATGCGCCCCAAAACACGAACTACCACTATCGCCAGGCGGCATTATCCCGACCAAACGAAACGGAGCTGGCTTCAACTGTTGTTCAAGAAGCGCGGAGGAGTCGGAGAGAAATTCTGATGCGCTTGTGAGGGTGCCAGATGCCAGTGCCAAAAAGCTTGTTTCTGTGGCGACCAGGACACTGCGTTCTCGCAGATAGTACCAAAATACATGACACACGCACGCATGCACACACAGCGCTGAGTGGCATTCATTTGTACCGCAGTGTTCCAAAATTTACCCATTAGGGTGTGTAGGATGTAAGGGAAACTTCATGCTATCATGAGCTTGGCTGTCTGGTGCCCCCAGCATACAATTCGTTGGCGCGTATCTGTTGCCCTTTGACCCTGACCTATCCAGCTCATTAGTCAAGCCGGAGGTGCTGAGACGCTGGGTTGACCGCCGCCCAGCTCGATGCTGATTGGCCGACTGAGCAAGGGGATGGGCACCAGACAGTAAACCCCATCCGGGGTATAATAGCATGAAAAATAACGACATCCCTGCCACCAAAGCGGCTGAATGTTGAGACGCTGGGCTGCAGGCTCAGATGACCAGCTTCTCGAGTAGGTTTTACCAGAACAAGTAGGTTTTAGGTTTAGGTTTTAGGTTTAGTAGGTTTTACCAGAACAAGAAGGATTCACGATCACTGGATGCATGTATTAAGATGCATGGATGTGTATCGATATCGGTGTATCAACGTATTAGATGATCAGAGCGCCAGATTACTATGTGGAATGGTTAAGACCACATTTGACACTTAAGGTTGGCTGCCTCTGTTTATCTGTGGTGCAAGGCTCCAGCTGTGACGCGTCGGTAGACTGGGCGATGAAGACGGGCCTTATGGTCTGCACGTGATGTGCTGGGACTGGCCACGGTCAGGTGGCGTGCGTATCTGAGCTCGTTTCCATGTCATGGACGTCTACGCCGCTGTCTCTTGGAATACCTTCATAGCGATACTGTTAGATAACCGTTAAAAATAATTATAAAAGTAAATAAATGAAAGATAACCATTTGCTCATAAGGAAATGCTGGATTTGTAGAAAGATCAAGATATTTTTACACTGGCACCCACCATCGGACGCAACCAAAATATCCAAATCACCACCTTGTCTGACCTCTAGCAATGTCGTGGCTGGCAAATCGACCCGGAAAGGTGGCAAGCGACTAATGCTTGTGGTGGAGGACGTCGTGATGATAACTATTCTGTATTTTTAATTCCGCATTTTCCGTGCTCGACTCGCTCAGCAATGTGAGAGGGCTGCTCACACCGCACCGCCTGGGTTGTAGGGGCCGATGTAGCATCCTCCTCGGAGCAGGGGTAGTCTCACGCGGAGGTGATCGTCTGCAATGGAATATGAGGGCCGTGCAGCCGGCGGGACGGCGATGCCTGTCAAGTTTGGGACGTGTCGACCACTCGGATTGTTGCGGTTACAACACCAAGTTATGTGTTGTTTTGTGAGGAACGGCACGGCGTAAAACGCATCGTAAACCCCGGACCTGCACCTGTGACGCAGATTTCCCGTCTGGAGATCGTCGACTGCGAGGAGTCGAGGAACCGCTCGCTGCTGGAGGTGGTGGTGTCGGTGATTCGGTCCACGGGCCAGCTGTTCACGACCTGCCTGCGTCCCACGCTCATCATGATGGGCATCAACTTCTGCATCCAGTTCGGGTGAGCGCGCTCGCGTTCCCTGCGAGCGAGCGAGCGTCGCCCTGCTGCCTATGGGAGCTGGGCTGGGCTGGGCTGGGCTGGGCTGGGCTGGGCTGGGCTGGGCTGGGCTGGGCTGGGCTGGGCTGGGCTGGGCTGGGCTGGGCTGGGCTGGGCTGGGCTGGGCTGGACTGGACTGGACTGGGCTGGGCTGGGCCGCGCTGGGCTGAACTGGACTGCGCTGGGCTGTGCTGTGCTGGGCTGGGCCGGGCCGAATCTACCCGAGATGAACGGAGCTAGGTTGGGTTGGGCTGGACGAAGTTGAGCCGAGATGAACGAAGCTGGGCTAGGCTGAGCTGAGCTGAGCGGAGCTGGGCTGAGCTGAGTTGAGCTTCGGTTGCAGTGTGTGGTCGTGGTTAGTTGCCGCATGTGTTGTGAAGTGACGCTTGAGGGGCTGTATTACTGCTGCTGGCTAAGGGCACAAACAGCTGCGGCTGCCGGTGCTCTGCGCTGCCTTGCGCTTCTGAGGCTCTGAAGCTTCTGCGCCGGCCGACCCGCGCTCTCCATCGTGAAGTGGCGTGCAGTGTTACCAGCCCTAGCCTCTGCTCGGTTGTTCAGTATCAGAATGGTTATGGATAATGGTATATTGAACGCTTAAGTCTGTGGTCTGGCCCTCTACTTCCTGCCTCTGAACGACCTAGCTGGGTTGCACTGATACTGAGCTTCAAGTCCAAGTAGGTGTGTGCGTGTTTTCAGCTGCTCCTAACGACGTGGTGGAGGCCTGGGGCTCTGTGCCGCACCACGTGGCGTAGGCCTGGGGCTCCGTGCTGGTTGTGTTTGTGGTAGCTTACCTTTTGTCGTTCGATCTGTCGTACTGATCGAGTCAGAAATCTAAGTGTTCAATTCTTTTCCGGAGCTGCACAACGTTGCAGAGGCGTACTAGTGTTGTGTGTGCTGCCCATAAATTTGGTTTTGTACTTGCATTAATTTCATTTGTTCGTTATTTTTGTGTCGTACGTTTGGGTCTGAGTTAATGCGCCTCGAAGCTCTCAAAATTACCGCTGAGCTCCGGTCAGCTCGCCTGTAGGTGGTCTGTCCTCGGGGTTCGCTTTTCGGCGCTCTCAATTGTCGATTTTGCTCATCGCCTGGATTACCGCTATCGGCAGACTCCCCTTGCTCCTCTCTTCGTGCATATTTGTCACGGCTTGACACACATTTTCCCCTATGAAAACCAGTCTGCGAGTGCAACGTGTCGCGTTTCTGTTTCTCTTCCTGACTGGCCTCATTCGGCAGGTATTACGGCCTGTGGGTGTGGTTTCCGGAGCTGTTCAACCGCCTGGAGCAGTACCACGAGCAGTACCCGGGCTCGTCGGCGTCCGTGTGCAGCATCATCGACGCCGCCGTCGCCAGCAACGCCACGGACCCGTGCGCCTCGGCCGCGGACGTGACCGCCTACCAGGACGAGTTCATCGTGGCCGTCGCGCCCATGGTGCTCAACGTCTGGACGATCGTGCACATGGACCGTCTCGGCAGGAAGTTCTTCTTGGGTGAGACGCACGGGTTGGGGTGTAGCAACATCGGCTGTGTGGCTGGTCGATCATGTCCTGTAGCGGTGTTGGAGAGCCGCAGCTGGGGAGGACCGCTGGGTAGGCGGAGAAGGAATGTCATACCGTAGTATTGAAGATCTCGCCATTCGGCGGCTGTAGGCTCAGGAACTCTTGCACCTGGGGTGCAGTTGAGATGACACGAAAGCAGCTGTTTCGGTTTGGTGGTTTTTGCTGAATGACCCGTGTGGCTGGCTGCTGCCACCAAGGACGCGTGAACTGAGAAGATCACCCGGCGTCGGACCCGATCCTCGGGGTCGGCATCCCGCTCCTCAACAGCGGACGTTCCGCGGTTGCGGGGCGAGCGCCCACCCCCAACGACGACCTCGTGCCTCTGTTGCAGTGTTCGGTATGTGTCTGTCGGGCGTCAGCGTCTTCCTCATCTACGTCGTGAAGGAGTCTTGGCAGAACCTGGTGCTCTCCTGCCTGTTCGGGTCGGTCTCCAACCTCAGCTTCTGTGCCATCAACTGCGTATCTGCCGAGCTGTTTCCTACCCATTTGAGGTACTTGTTGGGACAGTGATGGTATATGGTGCACCGGATGATAGGTACGGCATGGGAAAATATCCCCAGCGCGAATTGGATGAGTGCCAAAGCCGTCTACTGCCAAGGGTGAAATTATCCGTGGCATATTCATGCATGATCGATCGATGCACCTGACCTCTAAGTACAAAGTGCACGTCGCAACCCCTCACGTCGTTTTCGTGTTTTTTTCTGCCAAATGAGGTATGACAGGCTAAGAGTTGCGTGTTCCCGAGCCCCGTATCTCGAGTCCAGCGCATGACGCGTCACATCATTTGCGTTGTTTGGGGAACGGTCTTACAGTGACTGGCGTGGTCCGAATGCCACAAAACGGCTCGCAGTGATCGCTCGCTTACAACGTCCTGATGTCCGTTTAGCGTCGTAGCGGATAACAGTTGTTCATTGTTCGAGGCCGTGGTGCGCGCAAAAAGTTCATCTCGGCCACCTGGAAACGCTGTCGCCTCGGATAATGTGGGTCAGATGTACTGAAAACCGTCGCCCCTAAGTGCCTAAAGAGGACCGGCGTCGGCTGCGTGCCGCCCGTTGTGCCATGTAGTCAGCGGCATCCTGCGCGTCGCCATGGCGCTCTGTTCTGGCGTTCCATGGTAGCGATTTGGGCTGTTGGGCCCAGGGGCCGATGGTTGTCATCGCAGCGAGGCAGAGAGACTCCGTTAGGCCTGACGTGTGGTGCGGACTCCAGGTCCACGGCGATCGCTGTACAGATGGTGGTAGCTCGCGTTGGCGCGATCCTGGGCACTTCGGCGTTCGGTCAGCTGCTGTACATCAACTGCGCCGTGCCGCTGCTGCTGGTGGCTGGGCTGCTGGCAGGTCAGTGTCATGTGCCAGGCCGGTGTCATGTATCAGGCCAGTGGCAGGTCAATGTAATGTGTCAGGTCAGTGTCATGTGTCAAGTCATAACCATTTGTTAGGTCAGTGCCATGTGTCAGGTCGGTGTCATATGTCAGTGTCGGTGCCGCCGCTGCTACTGGTGGCTGCCCTGGTCAGTGGCAGGGCCGGCATACAGGAATGGGAATTACGGGTAGCCAGATGGCTGATGGATAAGTTCGTAAGGTCCTGCGATTTTGGTACACTAATCTGGTGTGTGGTGTTGTCTTCGTGATTTTTCTCTCCTTGCGCTGATTCGCACAACCCGGACTTAAAGGGCTCCATCTGAAAATCCGCTCATTCTTGCAGCTGATTTCTGGCAGGATAGGAAAACGCATAAACAGCGAAGACGCACTGCCGGAATCAGCATTCTCTATTCAGTGGTCATGGTGGCGACAGCTTGTGGTGACCGCCCTCGGCCCCACGGCGCGCACTGGTGTTCACGTGCGCCATGAGCTGTTGGCACACCCCCGGTTTGAACGTCTGCGACTTTGGGAGGATCCTGGTGCGGAGCTGGTGGTCACTTTCGGCCCCCCAGCCAGCCGCCGTCACAGACCTTGGCCTCTAGCAGTGTCCAGCAGAACTTCGCGATCAGCCCCAACACGGCTCCCACCGGCGGCCGGCCTGCGTGGCACTGATGCGCGTGCACTGGTGCCTCTTTGTAGCTGGTTCATTTCGTCCAGGACGGATTTTTCATGATGCCTCGATGGGAGGCCGGGCCAGGTCCCACTGTCGGTCCGATGGTATTTTTCAGTGAACCGTTTCTGTGTTGGTAGGCACTTCTCTTCCGTGGCCCCGCGCATGGTGGTCGTGAAGCCTGTGCAGCCAGGCGCTAACTCAGCATTTTGAACTGGAACCCAACCCACGACCTTTGCTTATTTCGCTCTGCTCAGATACCGATTGTCTGGGTCGGTGGCTGTGTCCTTTGTGAAGAGCCTTCTACGCCCGAGCGTCTGAACTGTTGGGACGGGGTAAGCCTTCGTAATGCATCACACTCCCCGGGTCCGCTGCCAGCGTACGGGCCACTGCTGGCACAAAGCCGGTTCATGTGGCTCTGTGCTCTTTGAGATGACTCTTCTGTACAGAAGCCTCAAGCGCCACAGGCCCCGGTCATAGGGTTCTGCGCACCCGGCAGCTATTTCACGTAGTCAACGCATGGGCGTTGCCGTCCGAGGCGACCGAAGGCGTCGGCTAATCCGAGTGATGGATGACGCGGGTCGTGTGATCACCCAGTCGACAGGGGTGCCCCGGCGTCTCTCAAACTGCTGATGTCATGGTTTGGGCCCTCACGCCGACATATGACGTCGAGAGAAAACTTCTGGGGATATCAGAAGTGGCCTCTGGGATTTACGTGGAGTACGGATGGTGAGGTATAATGTGACAGCGCACGGCTTCGGAACCTACATAGACATAGACATGAAAAGGGAAATACTACGTGAAATACGTACATAGACATGGAAAATGTAATGCTTCCCAGTCGCAATGCACCACTAGGGGCAAGACTGACAGCACACCATTAATTGGTGCGCAGCTGTTTCGCAATATTGGCTATGTGGCGATTTAGGCTTTTCAGTCCGCATAATTTCTCTTTTTTCCATGTCTCCCAAGCTTTATTCCATAGGGTCATGATGGCCTCTTCGTCACGATAGTGCAAGAGGAACCGGATGTGGGAGGATGCACTTATATTTACGGTACAGTCTCACCCTGTATACCCATGTGTTGGATAGGATCATGTGATACCACACGGGGCCGCCAAAGGAATTGTCCGTGACCACGGTCGCTTTTGCAGTTGGTGCCCGAGAGCGAGGGGCTCGAAACCTCCTTGCCAATGAGTATTGTGTGATGAAACATGGACATGAATTCAGTCTTTTTTCCCCACGATGTTGGGGTCATGGCATCGGAGAAGAAACCCAGGAGAAAATAAGTGTTTCCGGCGGGGCCACCCGTAGTAAGGATCCGCGATGTACGACCGTCGCCGTCATCGACATTGAAAGTTTTCGGAATGGGCGCTGCATGATCCTTTGCAGCCAAGCGCTCCTTAAAGCTCTCAACGATCATCATATCGGAAATGCACCATTCTACGACAAATGTCAGCATCACTCAACGCTGCTTTGAGTGGTTGCAAAGCTTTCAAAGCACCAACCGCGGCCTAAAGGCTTCTAAAAATTTCAGTCACATTTGGTCCGAATAGCTGGAATGCCTTTGCACGTGAAGTGGTAAACATTGGGATCCTTGGTGAAAAACATTTTCTCAGGTAAAAAATTACCGAGGCCTTGCGCGTATAGGCGCTTCGGCCGCAACGTATTCGTGGCTGAGGCAAAATGTTATACAACGAGCACGGTCCTGATGCAAGAAGGATGTCCCTGCATTTGATAAAGTACCTTTTGGGGAAATGTGCAAAACAGATCATCTTATGCATACCGTTGGTGCTTTGAGATGCTCCTGGAAGTCTTCTGGCTATCATGAAGTTTAATCACCTTTTATAAGAAAAGCTTTTTTATCGCGTTGGGCAAAATCTAAGCATAGGTTTACTTCAGTCCGGCCTGTCCCATCTCCCCTGCGTACTACAGTGTGTGGTGTGCGATACCGCGCGGTGGCCATGGTGCCTTCCGACTGGCCTGACATGCGTTGTGTCTGTGTCGTCTGTCGGCGCCCGTCGGCGCCCTTTATCCCGGTCTGACGCTGTGCTCCACGTTTCAGGTGGTGGTCTGTTGTCCCTTGTCTGTGTCGTCTGTCGGCGCCCTTCATCCCGGTCTGACGCTGTGCTCCACGTTTCAGGTGGCGGCCTGTTGTCCCTGCTCCTACCGAACACCACCCGCGTGCCTCTGAGCTGAGGGGCTGATCGCTCGTCCCGAGGAGCCGGCGGGCTGTCGGCGGCGCTTCGGCATTCGGGACCAGCGGTGGCCTGTGTTGTGTTCGTGTTTGCGTGATGTTTCTGGGGGGCGCGCGAGTCCCTGTTGGTTTGCAAACGTCCGATGATGACCATTGGGGATTACGCTGCCGGCGTAACTGCTGACCTTACCTTTGACCGACTGACCTTTCTTACCGAGTGTATTATTTCAGGAGGCGGGATTATTAACCTGGTATCGCTGGGTCTTTGGTCATTTCACACACCGCATCGACACTGCAGTGTGTGATGGATCTGATATCTCATCATGTTCATGTTGATATTGGGAATGTGGAGCGCTATTTTACTTTTTCCGCACCTTTCATTCGACCGTCCTGTCACATTCCAAGAGTACGATGCGTTATATTCTGAACGGGCATTACGTTCTCCATCGCGCGAATAATCTTCCTGCCAACGCGTTTACAAACTTCGAGTGTGCCTGGCGGAGGTGATGTTGATAAATTTACCTGAGTAAGCGACCATCATTGAAAATAGTCTTGTCTCGTGATTGCATTCCAACTTACTTCGACTGCACTGGCACTGGAATCGCCGCCGAACTGCCCACATCCCCAGCGTGTGCAGCAGCCACGTGTACAGCAGCGTGTAGCAGCTTAGCTGTACCCAGATTGTGTGATCGTGTGGGTGAGCATTGACGTTACATGTTACGCCCCGCAAATGTAGGCCACCAAGCAGATCTATTCGTGTTATGCGACTGCGGTATGGTGCCAGTGCAGTATGATTCCCACTCAGATATATGAGCTGATGACCGGTATCCGACGGTGTACCGACGATCCGTCTGTTCGGTCACGTTTGCAGATCCGAGGTTGATTTAAAGCTGTTGGGGTATACGAGGGGAATAGGGAGATGCCGTCAGGCACAGGGCTCATGAGGCAAATTGAACCATAAAGGTGTATTGTGTTATTCAGTCTTTTACCAACAGGATAGCCCCCAAGGGCCTTTATCCAGTTGTTACGTTTTTCTGTGTTCTTGTTGTTGATTTTAATTTGTGGCTGAATAAAGGGATCCGTCCAAGAACCGGCATTATCAATGAATTGTAGTCACGCAAGCGTGCAGCGCAACATTTCGAAGCAGCATCAAAGAATAGGTTATACCACAACGAGAGCACGCTCTAGCTTATGTGTCAATGATGGTTTGTTTTATAACCGCTCAGTTGTTAAGATGGGCTGTAATATGTCCGTCCACGAACGTCAGCAAATGGCTCAACGCACTACATCTTAACCTCCCCGGCCGGGGGCCTCAGACAACCACACTCGGTCGAGGGAAGTCGACCACCGCCCGGGCCTCCAACTTCCAGACGTCAAGCGATAGAAACAGAGATATCGTTGTGAAGGCCTCGTCAAATCATGAAAAAACGCACGCCAAAGTTTTGACCGTTAGATGTGAGGTCACGAAAGAAAAAACAGCTGTTCTGACAGATGCGGTTAAAAAGTATGTAAATACGTCAGGCGAATAATGAGGGTGCAGATGTGGATGTTAAGACGGGGAAACCGTTCCGACCGATCTTCCTTCACAAGGGTCCGGTCGGATCAGGTTACCGTCCAGAGTTGGGCTACCAATAGCCTACAAGTACGACGCTTTTTGTTATCGTTCACAACGCGCATCCGACAAGTGTAGTTTATTGGGCGCAGAAGTGGGACGAGGGTATTTAAGACAAACGTTTCATTTTAGGTTGACCTAGAGTCAGCTGAGGTCAACTTCGCCAAATCCATAGGCCATCCAAATGACAAAATGTGCTAATGGGGTCTAAATGACCAGTGCAACGCTTTTCTGTGGTGAAAAGTAGTGTGCTGTACATCTGCCGGTACTCAAGATTGCACGTCTCTTGTATATATTATACATGGTCCCTTAGATGCTTGGTAATATATCCGTAACAAACCCCCTGAGGTCTGGGAAACTAAGATGTTAAACACAAACTCAGTGTGGTTTGGCCTGTATGTGAACTACTTAAGTCAAAATTTGAGGTTCCTAGGTCATGACCTTCGGTCGGGTCGGTGACCTTGACCCGGGCGGTCACGAATGAAGGTGATCCGAGCAGTGACATGCGATAGTGGGCGGCCGAGTGCTCCACGCGCGGGCTGGACATGGCTGGCCGGCAGTGACATGCGATGGTGGCGGCCGAGTGCTCCGCGCGCGGGCTGGACATGGCTGGCCGGCAGTGACATGCGATGGTGGCGGCCGAGTGCTCCTCGCGGGGACTGGGCATGGCTGGCCGGCAGTGACGTACGATGGGGGCGGCCGAGTGCTCCGCGCGCGGGCTGGGCATGGCTGGCCGGCAGTGACATGCGATGGTGGCGGCCGAGTGCTCCTCGCGCGGGCTGGGCATGGCTGGTCGGCAGTGACATGCGATGGTGGCGGCCGAGTGCTCCTCGCGCGGGCTGGGTGTGGCTGGCCGGCAATGACGTACGATGGGGGCGGCCGAGTGCTCCGCGCGCGGGCTGGGCATGGCTGGTCGGCAGTGACATGCGATGGTCGCGGCCGAGTGCTCCTCGCGCGGGCTGGGCATGGCTGGTCGGCAGTGACATGCGATGGGGGCGGCCGAGTGCCCCGCGCGCGGGCTGGGCATGGCTGGTCGGCAGTGACATGCGATGGTGGCGGCCGAGTGCTCCTCGCGCGGCCTAGGCATGGCTGGCAGGCAGTGACATGAGATGGGGGCGGCCGAGTGCTCCGCGCGCGGGCTGGGCATGGCTGGCAGGCATTGACTTTTGAGGCTAGCGGTGAGCGTTCCTCTGCTGCTGCGCCGAATTTGACCTGAACTGAATCGTTCACCGTGCCCCCTTGGACACGGCATGGAGTTATCGGAAGACTCGGTGTGCACGGACGCAGACGAGGAGACCCTGGTCTCAAGCGGCGCGGGGACGGTCACAAGGAATCGTCAGCAGTCTCTTCCACAAATGGTCCAGTCTCTCGAAGGTGAGACGATCAGCGTTAAAAGGAGACGCGTGTACAAAAGCCGGTCTTGGTCTCAACCTGATGTGACTGAGATGGAGCTGGACGCTGGAGCGCGGGGGAGATCCCGTTAATGATCGAACCCAGCAGTGTGAGAGTATTCTCAATCGACGCCAAGATAGCCGGCCCCGTTCGAGAGACGCGTTGATCTGCTAGAACACGTTCTCGAGGTGGAGGAAGAAAACATCGCCCTTTGCATACCGCTCGAAACAGCCCAAAGCGAAAATGAGCTCATGAAAGCGGGTCGAGACTATGGATATTGATCAGAGGCAGGCTTCGCTGATAGTAACGACAGCCGAATTTTGCCTGAGAGGGCAGGGAAAGATGTCGAAGGAAAGGCTGTTCACATCCTCAGCAAGCATTTCCCCGATCTGAACGTGGGCTGACACGATAGCCAGGTCGCCATCGTCCAATGAGAAATCCAGGAAGTCCAAAAATAAAGTACCCAAATGGCCCAATGAGAGCAAGGTGATTTGCCAGTTCGATAGGAAGAAACTCCGTGACGAGATGTACGAAAGACACGGGACTGCCACTTACAGCCGTCTTATTCTCTTTGAATCGCTGACGAATACTACACGGGAAGTAAAGAACGCGCTGCTGGCTGCCAAAGGAAAAATACCCATGGCTGTGTACATATATGGCTATAATATGGTCATGTACATTTCAAGCTGCATCACGGTTCCCGAAAACAACGCGTTGACGACATGGAAGAGCTGCAGCGCGCCCTTGGCGGTGCCCACGCGAGTTCCGCGTCCCCGGCCCCGGATCCGGCCGAGGTAGAGGCGCTGTAAAAACCGGGGCGGCGCGGGCGCTCTTGGCCGTGGCTTGATGACTAGAGAGGTGGCGCTGCGTTCACCCCGCATAGCAGGACCTGGGGCGACTGCGCCCACAGAGGAACCTATTAGATGTGTTCAATGAACCGGCCTGCATGGTGTGACGGATATTTCCTTGATTAGCGCCACGCGCCACGATCATCGGAGGCTTCGTGTCACTGTTGATGCGATGTGCAATGTGCCACAATGTCCCGTGTTCTAACAGGCCGCACACCACTTCCGCCGTCTCAAACTGTTTCCAGCACGCACCAGTGCAACCCGGCGCGTCATGATGTATAGTGCTTAGGCTCAGCGCGACAGTTCGGATGCTGATTTTGGTGCCGGTCAGTTCCCCCTTGGCAGTGGCTGGACCTTGGGTGGGCTAGCCAGCCTGCATTTAGGCAGCTGTAGGCTGGTCAACTTCAATACATCGCTATAGACTCAATGTTTGGCATCCTCAGTAGGTGGGAGTGCCATGGCGCACAGGCTCCCGGTTCCTAGGCCTATGTTCGCTGTTATACACCCAGCGTGGCAAACAATCATCCTTTCACATCTGCTCATAGCATTTCTTGAATCGCCCTGCAGCGACCACCAGTTGCATTTGTTAGTAGGGGACACCGGTGTAGCAGACGCGAAGATAATGCAGGCGGAGTGCTGATGCCAGGCTGGGACTTTGTGACGTCACTGTAATAGTGAAGGGAAAGTGCCGGAAAATCACCGGATGATCATACATTACTACATGGCCTTGGTGCGGTAACGCTTTCAAACAATGACAGGTATGGGGGCATGTTTTTCGAACAGCGAAATTGTGTTGTTCAGAGAAGCATTTTCCTTTAAAAAGTACACCAATAGTCACAAGTGGGCTTATTCCATCATAACCGATGCTTGCGTGTTTATCTTCAATTCCGGAAAAAAATTTTCAAGCCGTAATCATTTTCCTGGTCTCCACATTTTGGAACATGTTCATTTGTGATGTAGTGATAACCCAGACTTGAGCCCGCCGGACACATCCCCATGAGTTTCTTTGATGTGCCACTGGTCTGAAGCATCTGTAAAATATCAGTTTCAGGTTGGGTGAAATGTGAGTGCAAGTTGTGAAAGCATGCAGAAAATGTTTCCTTGACATTAATAGCAAACCTACCAACAGACATCAGACTTCCTGTTTACCTCTGTTCCGGTCCCAGCAGTAGGAGGTTGTTAAAAATATTGAGAGCAGGCAAGGGCCTAGCATGTTTTATGTTGTACCTTTGACGCTTTCAGGACCCATTTGCATTCCTTGATGTGCACTTAGCTGGTTTTTAACTTAAGATTCTTTTCAAGAATATTCATAATCCCTGGGAATTTGGCATTAACAAGACAAGCTCACAATATTTCCAATGGAGCACATGCTGCAAATGATTTGAAGCTATACTGCTTTCCCATGTATATAATGAGAGCAAGCAGATTTGAGTTTGACAAGGAATTTGGCTCAGCCATGAAAAGAAACTGGAGGAAGAATAGCAACACCTTGCTAACTAAAGCTGTTCTTATCATGAAGTTGTACTTTTTCTGGGAATAAATCCAATAGTAGGTTCTACTCTGACTCCCCCCTCACTCCAACAGCTTCCATGATTCCATTCCATGTCTTGGGATTCTGTGGTTTGAGTTCTTGTGGGATTTCAGCTGATTGGGGCAAGACATCCTATATGAACAAGTTTATTTTGAAATCAAGTTTGAATGCAAATGCCTCCCTAACCTCTATGGAAGTGGAATAGTGTTAACCACATGTTGCCCTGAGTCATGAGTGGCTGTGCCCCTGTATGGGTATTTTGGGAAAAATGGTCTCATTAAAGTGATTAAGCTGCCTTTTACAGCAAGAAATGTCAATGATGCATGTAGGAAAATTGTTCCAGAGATGCCAAGTACATAGTTGTGACTGCAAGGTATGTGGCAGATAGCTTTGGTGGCACTTATGTGGTCTTATCTTGAGTTAAAGGAGTACACCTTAAAACTAACGATGATTTTATGTTTGTTTTCAGATGGAGACTTGTGTAAAGCAAAGCACAGCCACACAATGAAGTGACCAGATAAAATTTCAATAGGGTTGTGCTCAGCTTTAAAAACAGCATCAGCCATGTCTTCAGATGACAAAAAGGCACGCCTCATGGCTGACTTGTTTGGGGACAAGCCAGCTAGCTCCACATCAGCCAAGCCACGCACCATGCTGGATGACATTCTGAGTGCCAAGCCGTCTCCGTCTCCGGCCGTGGAGGCAACGCCGCCCCTGCCAGCGAACGATGCTGGACGACATACTCTCAGGCAAGCAGTCGGGCCCGCCGCCTGCCGAGGCCACACCGCAGCGCCAGCGCACCATGTTCGACGACATCCTCTCCAGCAAGCCGTCCGGCTCGGCCTCATCGGCGCCGGCAGAGGCCACGCCCTCGCGCCAGACCACCCTGTTCGACGACATGGTCTCGGGCAAGCCGACGGCCGACGACGGTGGCGGCGACGTCAACATGGGCGGGTATGAGCCGTCGGCGACGCGCTCTGGCCGGCCGCGTCGTCAGCGCGCGCCGCCCGCCGCCGATCCGCTGAATCTTTTCTCGCCTAAGCAGCCGTCGTCGCCGGCGCGCGCGCCGCCGCCCGCCGCGCCGCCGCCGGAGCCGGCGGCGCGACCACGGGCGTCGGCCGAGCCGGCCGCCGAAGCCGCCCGGACCAGCGCCGCGCCCTGGATGAGCGACCTGGGGCTGACGGCGCCGGCGCCCGCTGCCGAACCCGCACCGCCGGCGCCGGCCGCCGCAGCGCAGCGCGAGCTGTTCTCCGAGCGGGAGGGCGCGGCGCTGGCGCGCGAGAAGCGGCTGAATGATGACTGGAGCGCCCGGCTGGCCGAGGTTAACAAGATGCTCGCGGAGAAGGAGGCCGAAGTGCTCAAGTTACAGGTGTGTTTGAACGACTGGATCCCGTACAGCCGGCGGCGTCTGTTTGCTGAGCTGCAGGCGTGATGCAGCCGTGGGTGAATGGTGTGGTGCGATAGTGTTCACACCAGTGTTCATCGAACATAGGCAGTTTGTTGGCACATTGCCATTGAAATATGTTGGCCCTGTTAGTCTTACTGCGCCAGCTCTTGCAGCGGTCTGCACATGTGACGCAGCTACGCGGTTTATTGAAACTTGATTGTGGCTGAAACGGTGGTTGGCTGCTCATACAGTTCCTTTGCTGTTTTACCTTCCCTTAGACTGAGAAGAAGACTTCCCTTAAACCTTAACTTAACCTGACTGGGTTTTGGTTAGTCACCATATTTTGTTATACCACAGCAAGTATTCCACTGCCATACTGTATGCATGGGTGATCTGTCCAAGTTTGTTGCATCTGTTTGCATCCAAGTTTGTTGTCATCATCAGTTTGATCTGTTTGTTGCACTAGGGGCAGCAATTTTATTTGTTCCATTGTCAACTGATCTAAGTTATGGAGGTCGCTCTTTTGTGCAGCAATGCTAGGACCTGCCAAAGTGCAATATTTAAGTTGCTTTTTCTGCCTGCTGGGGATTGTTTCATGTGGCATTTCATGTTCCTGCACTTCGTCAGCTGCAGTTGTTCAAAGTTTCTCTATTTTCAATGCGTTCCTGCTCCCAATATGACTGATCCAGCTGGTTGGCTGGGGCAGCACGTCTTCACCGGTGTCCTGGTCACGCTGGCCGCACTGTCGGCAGAGCGCGTCTGGCGCGCACCAGCTGGAGAAGGAGCGACTCGAGGAGCACATCGCCCTGCTGAAGAGGTTGGCTGAGGAGGAGCGGAGTCAGCTCGAGGAGTCCTGCAGGTGAGTAGCGCTCCCGGAGACCCGGCGCCGCCTTCCTCTCACAGCAGCCCTGCCTGACGTGGACGCCCGCCCTGCGCCTTTTGAACGCATTGGATATTTGACACCAGCTTGACTTGTTGGTTGTGAAAATGGTGCATGATGGAATTTGCATTGTTCGTGTACTTCCACATTATTTTGGATCCGATTTTACGCAAGCAGCTCGTTTGGAGTCGGGCAGGCGCGGTAGAGAAACGGCTACCTGCACGATTCGCCTCGGCTGCCTGCCTTCGGGCTGCCCTGCAATCCGTCGTAGCAATGTCGTTGAGCAGCCATCGGCCCCAGTCTGAGCAGTGCGTGGTGTTTCAGACACCGGCTGGCCACGGCCGACGAGTCCTACCAGCGGCGAGAGAAGCAGCTGATGGAGGAGAACAGCAGGCTGAGGGACGAGTTCAGGGACCGGCTGAAGCGGCACCAGGTCAGTCACTGCACGGGCGCTTTGGTTCTGCGGCGTCCGCGGTTACGCCGCTTTCAGTCAGCTGCGTCTGTCCGGCTTGTTTTTACGATGTTACGGTTGCGGCGGCCTCCTCTTTTAGAAGTGTATCGATGATGTGAAACAGGACGCCTGGTTCTTGCTGTGTATCATGGGCATGGTCGGTAATCACCATCCTTGTATTGCCTGCGCATTGTGGTATGCTTGGATGGAGTTGTGAATGACCTGTTTTGCATTAGCAAAGAAACATGCTGTTGCGTTTCACTGTTGTTATATGTGGTATGTGCTTTGTAATATTCGTGCCTTTGTTTTGTTTCGATTTGTTCCTATTTGGGACGATACTGCACTAAGTCCTCTCCCAGAATGCTGTTTGTGATCACTTTGGCACCGACTCAACATTTAACCCTTTTGTACTGATCATTGGAGATGTATTTGGTGTGCCATCGTACATGTGTTGCTGTTATTTACATTCAGTTGCAGCACTTCGCGAATTAAGTACTTTCTGTTACTTCTAGCAGCATAAAAATCCCGATGTGATGCACGTTGTAATCTGATCCTGTGGTGGGGCGCCACTACAGATTTTGAAAGAGCAAACTTTTGCAGCGGGCCTTCTGGGCAAAGTGGTACCTCATTACAGGGGGCCACCTGTACAATATCATATTCAGTGGGGCAGTAGAGGCATGTGCCCTGCTTATCAAACTGTTACTGTATGAAACTTAGTGTCAGTAAATGTCAGCAATTAAAACATCCAGAAAAGAGACCTCCTGACTAAAGCTGGCGACCTTTGATCTGATAATGGACCTCCTTATCGCAAAACAAGGATTTCTTTTCCAGGAAAAGGACTCCCAATGCACATATGGGCCTCCTGATCCAGAACAGGGTCCCATCTTTTCACAAAGCAGGCCTCCAAATAGAGAAATGGGCATCATTATTCCGAAATATGGTACCCTAGTCCAGAATAGCAGCCTTTTGATATATACAAGTGGCATCCTCTTGCAGAATAGGGCTTCCTGGTAGGACGTGTTGGGAGTGCTTGTTAATCCGGACAAGTGTCCCCTTATTCATAAAGGAAGCCTCCAGAGCCATCACAATGCCTCTTAAGCATAAACTGTGCCTCTCAATGCCTCCGTACTTGAATTTTGACCACATGTAAGGCTGTAAAGCCTTTATTTTGAACAAAATAGGCTTGCTGGGCAACTGCCTCCCCCACCCCCTACTGTGCCAGCCCTTGTTTTGTGGCTCAGGTCTTGGTAACTACACGTGAATCGTGCTGTGTATAGCGTCGCTGCTCTCGTTTACGGACATGCGTTGCGCTGTCGTGTGCTTCGTTCATTTATGATGAAATATCAGCTCTGTTCTATTGCGCATGTTTTGTGCGCTCCAATTCATTGCACTGCACTTTGAGCGTAGTCACTGTTCAAGTGTGTGTTTATGGAGCATTTGTTACAGTTTATGCAGTGACACGCATGAGTATCACGTCACGTTTTTTTTTTCCTTTTTAGACCTATGCTGTTCAACTCACGCCAGTTTGTCAAGTGAATGGCTGAGAGGTATGTTGAATGTCTGTATTTGCATAAAATATGCTTTGTTTATTTCCTGGATTTCTTTGGCTATTTACTATAATTTGCATTCATCTATTTATGTATTTTATTTGATTTTTGTACCGAAGATTTGCTTTGTTTAAGTTTATTTTGCGTCCTGCCGGAATCAGCAATCACGTGCTGTGTCCATCCAGGAGGAGGCGTCGTGGGCGGCCACCTCCCACCTGCGCCACCTGTCGACCATTGAGGGAGTCCAAAGCGCCGAGTTCGGCCGCCTCAAGACCACATATGAGGAGAGCCTGGCCGGCATGCGCGGTGAACACGAGATGGTGGTGGCCCGGCTGAGCGAGCTCCGGAACGCAGAGGTGGACGCCGTGCGCAGCACCAGCAAATACACGGGGTCAGCATCCGGTGCCCGCGCCACCCGTGCGGCCGTCCCGTCTTGGCACATATCTTAAAGGTTTTGCTTACTTCCCCAAATATTGAGTACGGTGGTGTTGGACGCATCGTTGCATATTTCTACGTCACGGCTGCTGTTGTGTGTTCTGGCTGACTTGTTTGGCACAATGGACGGTTCCGATGTGCATTGTAAAGTACACTCAGGCGCTTTTAACGTGTACTTGTGACGATGAGGTTATGTTTCCATTGGCATGATAGCCTTCCATTGCTGTGAAACAACCCCGGGTCCCCATGCTTGGACAGAATGCTGGATGACGCCATACACCAGCTGCAAAAGACCTCCGATGTCACTGAAGACCTGCTAGCTCGGATCAGCCACAAGTATGACGTCACGCTGCAGGCCCGGGAGACACTGCTCCGGGAGAAAGAACAGCAGCTCAAAGGTGTGGTCAGCATCACTCGTCCCGGATGTGACGCCGCGCCGGCAGTATCTACTTAACGTTTTGAAACATGTTTCGGGAGGCGTCACTCGCGGGCCGACTTCTACCTTATCGCGTGGTGTCGGGGATGGTGATCATTGCGATCCAGTTGGAAAGGTAGGCAGAAATGCTCTGCACTCTCATTGTGTGGCGAGCTTCCGGCTTTACTACGTGCTGATGCAATGTTCACAAGCATTGTTAGCTTGGTCTCAAGTGCCGTGGCGCACACGCGCGCGCACTCGTACACTGTGAGGGTCTAGCTGCTGCGGCTGGGCCTGACAGAGTTCTGTTCAACACAGAGACGGAGGGAAAGCTGGAGAGGGTGCAGCAGGACACGACCAAGGAGCGAGAGCATCTGCAGGAGCTGATCGCCAAGCTGCAGTACAACCTAGACGCGTCCAGCTCGGAAGCCAAGGTGACTGGAATTCTTGCGCGCAAGATGTGATTTTGTGTACTTTTCTCCTCCGAAGATGTGGTGGTACAGTGCTTGTAAGGTGGCGGCAGGGATGCAACTGTTAGCAGTCAGTGCACCATCTTTGGTGTGTCTGGCTTGCTTCGGTAGGATTATTTTCACTGATAAGCATAGTTTGCATACTCGAATCCTGCTATTCGCGCGTGCTACCTTGTTTCTGGTGAGAGCAATTTGCGATCACAGAGTGGCCATCACTTCGGATGCTAAACGCGTAGCCGCCACGGTGTCAAATGACTCGACCTTTCAGTAATGAAAATGCAAATATGCATATTTTTCTACATGCTAAGATGGACCAGTACACTCCCTATGTCCATGTGTACGCATTGAAAGGACCAGTGACCGGGGATCTCCGATGTGGCAGTCACCAGTCACTGCCTGGTGTCCGCGGCGTCCGTGAGGCGGTGCTGACGGCGGTCTACCGGTGCCGTCAGGAGGCCAAACACCGCTTGGAGCAGCAGCAGGTGCGCGTGGAAGCTCGTGAGGCAGCCCTGGACCGCGAGCGGAGCGCTCTGGTAGAACGCGTGGAGCGGGAGCGGCAGCAGCTAGAGGTGAGCTCTTCCGACAGAGGAGCGGAGCGCTCTGGTAGAACGCGTGGAGCGGGAGCGGCAGCAGCTAGAGGTGAGCTCTCCCGACAGAGGAGCAGAGTGCTCTGGTAGAACGCATGGAGCGGGAGCGGCAGCAGCTAGAAGTGAGCTCTTCCGACAGAGGAGCGGAGCGCTCTGATAGAACGCCTGGAGCGGGAGCGGCAGCAGCTAGAGGTGAGCTCTCCTGACAGAGGGGCAGGACAATCTGTGAGTGCGCGCGGGGTGAGAAATGCAGCGGAATATGCGGCCGGTGGGCTCGGTTGCCTACCGATGAGATGACTCGGATGCGCAGGACCAGCGCATTACACTTCCATCTGGCTGTTGATTTGTATTGTTCGTATGGTGGACCGTGTAGTCTATGCTGTTGCTCTCACTTTACTCGAGTTTGGTGAAAGGGAGTGCCCACATTTGTACGAGGCTTGGAATTGAACTAGCCATTTTGAAGATCATCCAAAGATCCTCAAGATGGCTCTTTCTCTTCAAGATGGATCATTTGAGATCTTCAAGATGACTGTTTCTTTTCGAAACTCCATACAGATGTGTAAAAGTCACTTTAATGTGTTAAATAGAAACAGCTTTAATGGTCTGAATTCTGATAGGATCCGTTCCATGTGCGTTGTTTGTACGAACATCACGTCGCCTTTCCACGTCAGTACCACAGCTGTGTTGTGTTGGTACTCCACGGCACGGGCCTTCACCGTCGTGTCGGCGCCCGCCCGCAGGGCTTCCGTCGTGAGCTGCTGGAGGAGCAGCGCCTCTGGCTGGAGGAGGTCAACTCGGAGCGGCACGATATAGCGGCCGCGCACGCCCGCCTGGACGCCCGGCTCCGACTGGCTGGTCTGCCCGAGCGCAGCAGGGGCACGAAGTTCGTGCCCGATCACCAGCCGGTCAGTGGCGTCATGTAGTTCTTACATGTATTACGTAGCGCAGTATTCACGCGTCCGACGTCACGCAGCATTCACTCGTCAGGCGTCACGCAGTACTCACGTGTCTGACGTCACGCAGTACTCACGCGTCTGACGTCACGCAGTACTCACGCGTCCGGCGTCACGCAGTACTCACTCTTCTGACGTCTCGCTGTACTTTAACTTATGATGTTAAACAACAACAAAGCAGTTAAACGTAATGCTGTGTAACGTGCTTGCCACACATCCTCTGGAGCCGGACAGTCATTTGATCGTATGTCGCATTGGTGCCACACATCCTCGGCGCCAGCACAGCCAGCGTACCGCTCGTGGCGCCCGTCACGTCTCCGTCCGTGCTGACAGACGGTGGCCGAGCTGGACGGCATGTACCGGACGTTGGCGGAGGAACGGACTGCCGCCGCCGAGGAGCGCGACAGGCTGGCCGCGCTGCAGGCCGAGGCCAAGCAGGTATGCCGCCGCTGGGCCGAGTGGGCCTGATTTCAGTTGTGATGCCGTCAGCGTAATTGCGCCCACCGAGTCCGTCACTTAGCCTGGTCAAATGCCCGTAATTTTTGGCCCACGCGGATCATGTGTGCCGGGCCTTGAATGTGCGATGATGCGCCAGCCAAACCGTCCTGCTGCTCTCTAGCTGACATGGCGAGACGCGCCGCATGCCGCTACGCTTAGAACGCGTCACCGGCTTTACCAATGCTGCCCACTGATCATGCAACCAACGGCGGCTAGGCCGCGGTGATCTCGCGGGCAATCGCTGCCCATATTCCGCCTATCATTCTGCTGCGGCGAGACCTTCACCTAGCGTTACTTTTGAAAAAGGATTTTTTTAATCGCTTCGTGCCGTATACACAAGCACGCAGTGATCTAAGGCAGGTCTTTTGCTTCGCGATAAAGACGTACCGCAATGCGGCGCTTTTTGCCTGAGGCCCTCCAGCCGTGTCGTGTGATACGTGGTAGCGTGTGACCAGTCGTCCCTCGGAGCCTGAGGCCCTTTAGCCGTGTCGTGTGATACGTGGTAGCGTGTGACCAGTCGTCGCTCGCGGCCTGATGCTCCGGTCGTGCTGCGGTCACCGTCAGGCGGTGCTGGCCGCCGACTCTCGGCAGCAGGCCATGAGCCGCGAGCTGGAGCGGCTTCAGAGCCAGGCCCAGCTGCTCAAGCTCAAGAGCCAGGAGGTGGACGACGTCTCGGAGGTGGGTGTCGTGTGAGGTGCGCAATGCTTCACCCCTTGCAGTGCTCCAGAGCTCCATATGACAATGCTCCATCCCTCATCGTGCTTCAAATGGCGATGCTCCATCTCTCAGTGCTCTGATTGGCGATGCTCCATCCCTCACAGTGTCCCAGTACTCCAGATGGCAACGCTCCATCCCTCCTAGTGCTCCAGAGCTCCAGATGGCAATGCTCCATCCCTCAGTGCTCCAGAGCTCCAGATGGCAATGCTCCATCCGTCCTAGTGCTCCGGTGCTCCAGGAGGCAATGCTCCATCCGTTACAGTACTCCAGATGGCAATCCTCCGCCCCTCACAGTGCTCCGATGCTCCAGATGGCGATGCGTACCCGCGACGACGGCCGGCGCGCGCTGGACGAGGCGCACGCGCTGCGGGGTGAGCTGACCAAGCAGCAGCTGCTGCTGGAGCGTCAACAGTCCAAAGTGAAGGCACAAGAGCAGCTGCTGGCCCAGGTCGGTAGACTGGATATCATCTGGCCGGTCGGGGCGAGGGGGGGGAGGTCTAGGCTGGCGAAGCGGGCCGTCTGTTTCGGTGTGTGGCGAGTGATGTGGTGGGAGTAGTGCATGCTATGGTGCTGCAGCTATGCCAGTAAGCAGCCCTATTTTGGCTATCTGGAAGCATTGCGAATGAGGTTTGAGGCGTGCTGTCTCCTGCCAACGTGTAATTGTTAGCGTTGTGCCCCTGCACTGGCCGTATACCATGTAGAGCCCGTAAAAGACGAGGCGGGGTAATGGACAGAAGACTGGCTCAGCTCGTTTAGTGTGCATTCCTTCGGCCGCATCTTGAGCTGCAAGCTCAGACTTGATTTCCCACCGCATTTCATATATGGACACTACATATTACGTTGAACCATATCAGTGCCGAACAGAACACCAGTGTATCAGGTACCAACAAGGGTGCGACCTGGCAGCCCCTCTCTCAATTCACTAAGCTGTCGCACCCAAGTTGCTGCGAACGCCGTGCCCAGGCCGCTGACCACTGCTGCGACTGATGCCCAGGAGCGGATGCGGCTGATCCAGGAGCGTCAGGCGCGACCCTCGCGCGCCCGGCCCGGTCCCGGCCCCGGCCCCGGCCCCGCCTCTGGGGCCGGTCTCAGCGTACCGGTCGGAGGTGCCGAGAGGACGCTGGGAGACGGCGCACCCGGCTCAGAGGTACGACCGCGGGCGGCGATGTTGCGGTCACCGGGGCTGCGACCAGACCAGTGTTCGTGGTGTGCCGCGAACCCGGTCTTGTACGGTTAGTTGCGCGTCTTCTACGAGCGCGTGGTATTCTTCTTTTATTGCTTTTTCGTGGCAGTTTTTATCAGACGCGCCCGCCCGAGGTGTGGGACATTTTACGGCATTTACTGCCGTGGTACTCACGTAGCGTGCCCTTCTGCTGAACTGACCCCATTCGGGTCATCGGCCAGACCACTGCGTACCTTTACTCCGCACCTGGGAGGGACGGCCGCTTCGTCCGCTCGTGTCTCTGAGCGCAGGGGGTTCCTGTGTTGCAGGTTGTGTCGGTGGACCCGACCGTGCTTCTGTGGAAGCTGCGGGCGGACGAAGACCGGGAGTTCCTAGATCGGGAGGCCGCCTTCATCAAACAGCTGACTTCCAGCAGCTGAGACCAGACCTCGAGCAACAGCTGGCACCCCGTTTTCAGACTGCCGCTCTCCCGGATGGGGGGACCGCCTGCTTCCATTGTCTCGCCTCTGGTTCTTGATACAAGCCTGCTGTCAACTCGATGCTCCCACCCACCATAGACTAGGAGATGGCCTTCGACCAACAGCACTATTCGGGCGGTGCGTCACAACCGTGCTCGTACCGGCACGCGGCCATCGGCCATTGCCATCGGGCTCCATGACCGTTGTATAGGCCGCGGATCCGTGGTCGGTGGGACGTGTGAAGTTAGTGGGACGGTGATGCCGTCAGCATTTGGGCTGCCCTCCAGCAGCTGTTGAGGGCTATCTGATCTCTCCGCCGGTGTTCCCCGGCAATGTCTGCATGTGATAGACAAGTACACGAGGATCAGTTTTCATTTGCGGGCCCCACCCGGCCAACGATCACTGCCACATGAGTGACTTGGGTGGAGAAAAATTGCATGTGTCGTGTTCGCTACAAAATAGAGTCTGTGGTTGTGCACCACGTGCCCGGTTCGCGATGCACGACGAAGAAAGGGCCTTGCGATGGCCCCGGCACTCTTGCGGAATCGAACCCCGCACCAGACGCGTTAACCACTAGACTACCGACACCCCGGCGGTCCGCTGTACCGAGCTAATGTGCCAAACGGGCATACCAGGCAGCTAATTCTCCTTTTAAGTCTACTCCCTGCGTCTCTGGCGGGAAATCGTGACAAGGAGCCGGGGCCGAAGAGGCGCCGGTGGCATCACCTGGCGTACGGACAGCCAGATGACGTCACGGACGACCGTGCCCTCCAGTCCATCCGTCGCACCGAGGCAGTCAAAAGCCCTCGTCAATGCCATGCAGGCGCTCAGCTATGTATCGCACCACACACCACCACGTGAACCGGCACCAGCGGTCTCTGAGCACACCATCGAAATGCTGCAAATCTGCACCGGTCGCGGCGGTGGCCCCACCGCCCAGCGCACACCCGGTTGGGCGACGCCGCACAGGTCTGCATCATAGCACCGCTACGCCAAAAGACTATGTGAAATTCTCGCACCTGAGAACAGGGCATACGTGCCATATGCGTCATGGGATACTCCGGTAAACGAGTAGTGGCCAACGCTATTTGCCCGCGACAAGCTCCAAAAAACGAGACGGTGCAGCGGCAGTTTCGTGACCACCGCACCGCTGTAACGCGCGACTAGCACGCCAAGCATTTGATGCTACGCTTGTCGCACAAACAAGTGCGACGCGGAAGACGCGAGTTTGCAACTCCAGCTATCACGGATACTCAGGCGACTCGTTGACTCGTCAGTTACATTTCTTTTAACCACTGGGACGAGCCAAAAACGCATCTTGCCATTCGCAGCAGCAACTGTGAGCTTCTGCCTCGCGGGGACAAGCCGCCCAAGCGACGTAATACAACTTTCTGCGTCACTCAAACGAGACTTGGCAGATACTCGTGCACAGAAACAATACAACTTTTCACAGGTCTGCTGGGATAGACCACCACCGCGTATTTCACACGCTTTTCATCCGCCGGCCCACCCACTAACCATTAACGCAAACTAGAAACGGATTTGATTCACATTCGGTCATAATAAATGGGCTCAAAGACACCTAGTCTCCAACGAAGGCAAGATGTGTACTATCGGTAGCGCACCAGTGTGTAACGCGCACGGCCGCACGTCCCCTGTTACTCGCCACGCCGTCGGATGCAGACCAGACACCACATCGCCATCGTATTCCATGGACGTTAGCTGTGCGCGGCAGCACCTGCGCCAGGCCCTACTGGTACTGCTTAATGAACTTCTGGTGGAACTCCTGCATGCGGGCCAGCATCTCCTTCAGCAGAGGAGTCTGCGGGAGGATGGTGGTCCTGCAAACGATAGAGGACTGAATTCGCTGGCCAGTAGGGAGCATCGACCAGCAGGGGCACTCCGACCCGCGACGGACACTGGGCAGTGCCACCACTCACGGTTAGCCGGCTGGCTGGTGTTCCCAGCGGCCACACTGCTTTCAAAGCCTTTCGCTAAAGTAGCCACAACTAATGCAATATGACTCATCCCCCTACCGGAACGGACATGCACGTAGCACGCAAGGGCAGTCAATGATGTGCAAATGGACCTTCGGCACCTAAAAAGATATTCCAAAGTCAACCCTTATGCATTCTCCGCCCCATACTTGCCTCGCGAACTCAGCGGCCCTCGCCAAGCCTCCTACATGAGCTCAAGTATGTACAACTGTCGGTCTGTTTGATCCCACTAGCGCCCCGGCGATGGGTCCTGTCGCCCGGCCGACGTTCTCGCGCCCGTCAGCATAAACCAGCGTCACTCGTCACTAGAGTGGCGGGTGCCGGGCCGCTGTCTAAAGCCAAACTCGGGCACCACCTCCTCGCCAAACCCACCTGCACCTGAAGCGGTAGGCGCCGGGCCGCTGTCTAAAGCCCAACTCGGGCACCACCTCCTCGTCAAACCCACCCTCACCTGAAGCGGCAGGCGCCGGGCCGCTGTCTAAAGCCGAACTCGGGCACACCTCCTCGTCAACCCACCTTCACCTGAGTGTCTAAAGCGAACCGGCACCACCTCCCTCAACCCCCTCACTGAAGCGGCGGTGCCGGGCCGCTGTCTAAAGCGACTCGGGCCCATTCTCGTCAACCACCCACTGAGCGGAGCGCCGGGCGCTGCAAGCCGACTCGGGCACACCTCCCGCAACCCACCTCACCTGAAGCGGCAGGCGCCGGGCCGCTGTCTAAAGCCAGACTCGGGCACCACCTCCTCGTCAAACCCACCTTCACCTGAAGCCGTAGGCGCCGGGCCGCTGTCTAAAGCCGAACTCGGGCACCACCTCCTCGCCAAACCCACCCTCACCTGAAGCGGCAGGCGCCGAGCCGCTGTCTAAAGCCAGACTTGGGCACCACCTCCTCGTCGCCCACCCTCACCTGAAGTGGTAGGTGCCCGGCCGCTGCCCAAAGCCAGAGCCAGGCACCACGCAGATGCCCGTGTTCTCTAGCAGTTGGAAAGCGTAGAACACGTCCGGCGCCTGGCCAGCCGCCTTCGCCGCCTCCACCGCCTTCTCGGGCAGCTCCAGCTGCCGGCAAGGACGCTCGTCATGCAGTCGAGTCAAACACGGACAGGGCAACAGCGATACCGGCAGTGTGGGCATTACAGGGTACCCTTTATGCCAAAATCAGCCACAAAAACGCCGTAACGCACACCTCCCTGAACGCCCGGGTCTTAAACTTCTTTTAAAAATTGATTCGCTACACCATGTCAAAGAGAACTGAAGCTCAACACACGTCTCAACATTTTCCGACGGCCTATTCCAGCCATCCAGTCGTCTCGGCACACACACACACATACGTGCTCGGGACAGGTTCGCACAGCCCAGCGGGCACCGTTGACGGCTCACCTGCGGGAAGGCGTACATGGCGCCCTGCACCTGATTGCAGGTGAAGCCCTCCATGCTGTTGAAGGTGTCGGCGATGAGGGTGGCCCGCTCCTTCAGGGAGCTGAGTACGCTGCGGCGCTCCTTGTCGTAGAGCGCGTAGCTGGGCTCGCCCGGCCGCGGCGGGTTCACCACACAGTCCATCACCGCCTGCCAAACACACCGGCAGTGGGCTGCTGTTCTGAGAACGCGCCGGCGGACACAATAGTTCGCCGCGGGCGGGATGCGCTAAAGCAGTGGCACTTTTGAGCTCAACAAATGTCGAAATGTTGGTCATCATTCATAAAACAAGGCAGTCGTGAAACAGAAACACTTACACCGCCTAATCACGACCTCGATAAATACTGCACAAAAACGGGAGCGCGTTTTTACGACTGGCACCACCAGGTGCACGCCACCAGTCCCGCGAGACGCCCGACATGCTGGCGCCAGCCGACACAGTCGGCGACCAACGTGTTACTCACCTGGCCGTGGACCGTGGAGCACAGCTTGGCGGAAATCATCTTGAACAGCATGGCCTTGACCTTGGGATCGAAGTTGAGCAGCTCACAGTAGCCTCCGCGCAGGCCGCACTCGCCCATGTAGCCTGCCGCACACAGTCCCGTTTGAGTGTGACGTGACGGGAGAACGCCTTCCGTGTCCTTATAAATCGGCAGGGAACATAAACGGCCGCTTGCTGGGATAGCACAGCCATCGTGAACCAGACACACCATCTGGGAAACACCCAGGAAACTGGTCAGCGATGGCGGCGGCTCGCACACTCGCGCGCAGTCGGCATGGTTTTTTGAGAGCGTTCTCGAAAGATAGAGCAATAACCCTGATCGTCAACCGCCTGTACCAGTCATGACGCGGCAATCGGGGCACCGAACAGACGGGAAACCAGGTGCGTCACGACTGAACGCGGGAGGACCAGAGATGGCCGCCCACTTGGCACCACTGGCCTTTGGAGCAGGACATGAAGGAAGCCAGCTCCATGGTGCTGTACGGCTCGCCCATTTCGGACAGAACCTTCTTGAACGAATGGAACTCCCGGTCGGCCGCGTACACATTGTGTTGGTACACCTGGGAAAGACGGCACCGACAGTCAACGACTTGCGAGACTGCCGCGTGTGGCTCATTAGGGCACACTTGTCACCTTCATAGCACCATCCATCCACCACCATCCATCCATCCATCCATCCATCCACCATCACATCTGTATATATCCAGCTATGTCAGGCGCCTGCCATGCAGCAATATGCACACACAGACCGCGCCGAAGCCGACTGCAATGAGTCACGGCGTCGGTGGCAGAGATTCACACCGGTTTTCTCTTTCACCGCACAGCATACATTACCAGCATGTCTGACCCGACCCGCCTCGACCCGACCGGTTTTCTTTTTCGCCGCACAGCATACATTACGAGCATATATGACCCGACCCGACCCGACCCGACCCGACCCGACCCGACCCGACCCGACCCGACCCGACCTGATCCGATCCGATCTGAACCGGATGGACCAGACCAAATCTGACCAATCCAGGAAAGACTAGACTAGACCAGACCAGACCAGACCATACCAGACCATACCAGACTAGACCAGACCATACCATACCATACCATACCAGACCAGGCCGAACCGGACCCGAGCCCACCGCGCCACAGCCCACCTCGTCGGCCATGATGATGAGCCGTTCGTTGAAGGCGAAGCGGATGATGTCCTCGATGTTTTGACGGGTGAGCACGGAGCCGGTGGGGTTGCCCGGGTTGATGACCACCAGCAGGCGGGGCAGGCAGCTGGCGCGCGCCTCCTCCAGAGACCGCTTCAGCTCGTTCATGTCCAGCGCCCAGGCGCGCGGCTCGTCCAAGTAGTAGTTGATCTGAGCACAGGGAAGGTTGGGGGAGCGGAGGTGAGCATGGGAGGGTAAACTGGTCACACACAGAAGCATAGGGCTTCGCTAGTTCACAGACAATGTGGCGTGCACGTCACGTACCACATTGCATTGCATCGCACTGCATCGCATCGTATCATATCGTAGCAAGTGCCTAACATTCGTGATGCTTCTAAGATACTTACAGTGCTGTTAAACGCTCCGGCACCAACGCGCTTCGTTCGCCTTCAATTACCCTAGCATCCCGTAATACGCGGCCTCACGTTCAAAACGGCCCCGCTCCTCCGACGCAGCCGCGCCGACCGGCGCACTGGCTCTCGCTCGGCCCGCCTGCCGGTCGTTCGCGCCGCCCGACTGGCCCCACATGGCCAGCTCGTGACCCCGCTCCAGCCGGCGGCCCACCTGGTGCATGCCGAACTCCGCGACGGTGGCCGAGTAGAGCGGGTACTGCGGGATGGGCACCATCACGCCCACCGCCCGGTCGCCGTCCGGTCGGTTCAGCAGCGCCATCACAGACTGCCGACATCGAGGTCAGAAGAAGGCACGACGTGAGAGGTAAGCACCGCTGGCAGCCGGGGGCGGGGAGGCAGCGGCTTCGGTGGCACAGCCAGGGGCGGGGGGGGGGGGGGGGGGGGGGTGCGGCTGCTTCAGCGGCGCAGCAGGAGCGGAGGCGGCTGGGTCTTGGATTTGAAATAAAGTCGATGTAACAGTGACTTGGATGTGTACGGAGCTTGAAAATGACGAATGAATGGCCGTGAAGTACACATAGCTATTAACATGCGTCGACCAATCATTGCACTTGAGTGTTGTGCTTGGTTACACGAATACACGGACGTAGTAAAGCTGCACGTCAAGACATTAACAGTTGCAAAGACTAATTCTAAAACGATAGCGAATAAATCACCTGGAGCTGCCAGCTACCACACAATGCAGGCCAGCCGCACCATCGCACGGCGTTTGGCGAGCACTGGCGGACAGCGGTGAGCCTGCGCGATCAACGCGTCGCCGCGTAGCACCGCTCACCTTAATGGCCTCGGACGCGCCGCCCGAGAGGATGATGTTGCTGTAGTCGCTGGGGATGCCGCCGTCGCGCTCCTCGATGTACTGCGCCACGTGGCGTCGGATCACCTCCACTCCGACGCTCTCGCTGTAGGCACCCAGGCTGCCGCCGCCGCAGCCTGGCCATCGGCAGAGGTCAGGCGACACCGACACACGCCGGCGGACCAGCTGTAGGCGCCCAGGCTGCCGCCGCCGCCGCAGCCTGGCCATCGGCACGGGTCAGGCGCCACCGACACACACCGGCAGACCAGCTGTAGGCGACCAGGCTGCCGCCGCCGCCGCCTGGCCACCGGCAGAGGTCAGGCGACACCGACACACGCCGGCGGACCAGCTGTAGGCGCCCAGACTGCCGCCGCCGCAGCCTGGCCATCGGCACGGGTCAGGCCACGCCGACACACGCCGGCGGACCAGCTGTAGGCGCCCAGACTGCCGCCGCCGCAGCCTGGCCATCGGCACGGGTCAAGCGACACCGACACACGCCGGCAGACCAGCTGTAGGCGCCCAGACTGCCGCCGCCGCAGCCTGGCCATCGGCACGGGTCAGGCCACACCGACACACGCCGGCGGACCAGCTGTAGGCGCCCAGACTGCCGCCGCCGCAGCCTGGCCATCGGCACGGGTCAGGCCACGCCGACACACGCCGGCGGACCAGCTGTAGGCGCCCAGACTGCCGCCGCCGCAGCCTGGCCATCGGCACGGGTCAGGCCACACCGACACACGCCGGCGGACCAGCTGTAGGCGCCCAGACTGCCGCCGCCGCAGCCTGGGCACCGGCAGAGGTCAGGCCACACCGACACACGCCGGCGGACCAGCTGTAGGCGCCCAGACTGCCGCCGCCGCAGCCTGGGCACCGGCAGAGGTCAGGCCACACCGACACACGCCGGCGGACCAGCTGTAGGCGCCCAGACTGCCGCCGCCGCCGCAGCCTGGCCATCGGCACGGGTCAGGCCACACCGACACACGCCGGCGGACCAGCTGTAGGCGCCCAGACTGCCGCCGCCGCCGCAGCCTGGCCATCGGCACGGGTCAGGCCACACCGACACACGCCGGCGGACCAGCTGTAGGCGCCCAGACTGCCGCCGCCGCAGCCTGGCCATCGGCACGGGTCAGGCGACACCGACACACGCCGGCGGACCAGCTGTAGGCGCCCAGACTGCCGCCGCCGCAGCCTGGCCGTCAGCACGGGTCAGGCGACACCGACATATACCCACATGCACCATCCGACCGGCTGGATACATCCCCACACACGCATGCGTGTGCGTACACACAGGCAAGTACACACAAACACACACGTACACACAAACACACACGCACGGACAGCTGCGCCCACAGCCTGACGGAAGTCCACTGCCTGCTCTGTCTCAGACACCGCCTCCCTAGGGTGATCGGAAGCCGTTTGTTTTCCCTGTGGAAAATGGTGTTTTAGGACTACATGTTGAGCCGATAGGAAGCCAGTTTACTTGTGACCGTTTCGTCTATGACTAACAAATTAAGGGCCGCGCAACGGATAGTTTGGTTGAAGCCACTGCCGCATGTCACAATAGTGCATACAACAGCACAAGCAAGGCCCCCCCCCCCCTCCCCCGCTCCCCGTAATGTTGTTACTTCGTGCATGACTCATCGGATCACTGGTATGCCTGATTCTACGGGCACCACAAAATACACCTCTGGCTGCACTGCACATACAAAATAGATCAACACATCATCACACACGATATCAAATGAAATCCGTACAATCACTGACGCCACCGCAAGGCTACAGTAGCGTCTTCATGTCCTGGCCCAAGGTTGTCTTTACACACCAGCCAGGATGGTGCGTGCATGCTCCTTGGTATCCTCCGGGAAATCATCAGACTTCATGAGCTCGGGGTAGAGGCAGAGAGCTGTCACCTGGCAAGCACCATTGCCTGTCAGAGCTGAAGGCCAGCATAATAACGCCTTTAGCGTTTCTTTCCGCATAAGTCACAGAATGAATTCAAAAAACGGCTCCAAAAACGATATGCCCCGCGCTGCCTTTTGCGTGATGCCGTCCACATGAAGAAAGAAAACCTCCCTGATTGGCTGGCCAGTCACAGCCATCAAACACTTAGCACATGATCTGCCTTGAACTGACACAATGACACATGAACAGCTGCCCATGCAGGCACCAGCTAGCTCCCTTACTTGTCTGATGAAGGTGATGTAGGGCTGCCCCATGGCGTGGGCATCGCCAATGTTTGCTTTGATTACACTGGAGAATGGCTTCTTTTCTCCCTGCAACATGAGTTCTTCATTGTAAGGCGGGTAAATAACGTATCTGCTGGGTGGCTGGCCCGAGAAATTACGTTACGGAGCTCGTGGAGCAAGACGTTTTTGGGAATGGAAGCCAGTCTTGCTGTCCTGAGGTTAAAAGGAGTGTTTCACATTTGGAGATATTGAAGCAAACATCAGATATGATAAAACAAGCTAACTTACAACTATTTGCATGCTTTTAAGTAGGGAGACTGCTCCAAACAACACAATCTCTCTGTTCAGTAAATATGCTCCTTGATACATCATTGTTTGGTCATTGTTGTCATCACACCTTCCACAGCCATAATTATGAGCTAATTGATGGCCATTTCATTGGCAAACCATGCTCACAAACCTTAGATACCAACAGCTTGACCATTATATTTCAGGAATTTAACTTTTGGAAATGGAAGCCAGTGCTCCTGTTCTGGCACTAAGACATGTTGCCCATGTTTAAGCCTGCCTCCATGCTTACCTGCCCACCCCCCAGGTACACTAGGTTGCCCAGTGTTCCTTCATAGTGGCCTCAGGCTCTTTCCACTTGCTTGGAGGGCCCTGTGTTATTGCTGGGGACTACATCAGATAATGCACCCAGACAGTATGATACTCACAGGCTCTTAATTGACCTAGTGCTCTTTCCCTTTGCTAACATTTGTGGAGGATCCTTCACTCATGTCAGGGTCCTGTACTCTTGATCATACTGGAACAATTCATGATTAATGGTCTCGGGTAATTTCACTTTGCTTAGAGTGCCCTGTCCTCTGACCAGGGTCCTAGATGCTAGCCTGCCAGGGCATTTCCAATCATTTAGGGGGACCACAATATTGGCCTTGGGTTCTAGCTGCTTGTTCTGAGGACCCTATACTTTTGATGGAACTCTTTCTTGGTCTGCCATGGCACCCTTAATTGCTCAGGTTGTCCCCATCAGTCATGTGTTGTTCCATATTATCTGAGGGCCTATGCTGTTGACATAGGCCTAAATCATTATCAGTTGGGACACTCTTGATGACTCTGGAGCCTTCACATGTGGTTGTGACATCTTAAATGAAGTCAGAATCTGTTGCTAATAAGCCCATGCATGTTTGAGAGCACCAGGACCAGGGCATTTCATTTGCTCATGCACCGGCCTCAATAAACTACTTCATGCACACCAATCTGAGGCTACATGACAACAAGTTCTCTTGGTGCCTTAGCCTTTGAGCAGCACCCTGAAATGCAGCTATGCTTTTACACAACATTGTTGAATACTATTTTATATACTAGTGATATTATTTGTCAATTTCTGCTAGATATCAAATGTGTGCCTTTGTCAGATTTGTGCATCATGTGCCCATCATTGTACATTTTGAATGTTAAAATATGTTGTACTCTTTCATGACAGTCAAAGCAAAACTCAAACACTAAACATGGAAACATTAGTCACCAGCAATAAGCTGATCATATCAACTAGCTAGCTTGCAGTAAATGAGCAAGATCAGGTTTATGCCTGCTTTTGATTTTATTTAGCAGCCCACTTTAGTTTCTTTTGCCCATTTTTCCAACATAATTACCTCAAATGACAGAATACACAATGACCTGGAGGAGCTAAACAGGCCCCATATGTACACCTATAGCACATCAGACCTAGGGCTGTGCACAGTGTGTGTGTCATTGGGGCTTTACAATGATTCAGCTGCTGAGGCTATATGGCATTGTCTGCCTCTCACCATCAGGAAGGGCAGGCACCCCAGGGAATCAAACCCTACTCCCCTGGTTTCCCAGATGTGCAGTGGTTAACGCAGACACGCTAACCACTACACTACTGGCACTCTGGGCTGCACACAGTAAAATGGGTTCTCATATAATCATAGCATATCTAAGAACCTTAAAATTGAAGTGGCCAGAATGAGGAACTTTAGAGGCCTCCCATTCTCAGGTAGGCCCCTACCTGCTACATGGTCCCCACTTTACAAATCCTGGGTCTACCCCTGCCTGCAGTGTTACATTCATGCTTCCATCTCTAACTTCCAGCGGAGCAAGGAACCTTGAGCTTTAGATTATCTGGTCTATATGGCCTACGTTTTGTTTTTGGAATGGTGCAACTATCTTACTTAGAACATAGAATGTGTTGAAATGGCAATCAAGAAATCATTCCTGAGCAACCTTGCAAAAGGATAATTATATATGACTTATTGGCAAAATAGGAAGTATGCATGACTTATTTTGTGACAAATGTAAACATAAGGCATTTTCAACCATTACAGCAGGTGAGATCAAATGCTCATTGAGAGTGCAGATGTTATATACATAACTGATCCATTGAATTGCAAAATGTGTACCACATCAACCAGTGAAGCCATTTGGCATCATTTGATGCAGAAAACTAAACAATTTCAATGTTTCAAAAGAATCAAACATAGTTCAGCCATCTAAATGGAACTGACCCATCATCATCATACCATATGCACATGCAGGCTAACATGTCCTAACAGTCAAAATGACTACCCAATTGTAGTAGGGCAAGGGGTCGACCTTCACAAGGTCACACCGGTGGTTTTCACACTGCGGTCTCCGCGCCCACTTACCTTCTGCAATTCCTTGGCGATCTCTCCAGCACGGATGACCAGAGGTCCTCTTACAGCATACTCCAGCTTGATGACATTTTTATTGACATCGTCCAAGTTACAAAACGGTCCCGTTGCCATTTTTGACGTCGCGAACCCCCTGCAGCCGATCAACCGAGAGAATCCGACAGCTGAAACTTTGGACCGGCACACCGATCGCACGCCCACCCGCCCACCGCACACGATTGTATGCCTTATCGACATCACTGGAGCAGGCTTTCACCTATGCCGCAGAATGCCCTAGAACGTGCCCTTCTCCTTCCATTCAAAATCAAGCAGCTTGAGCGCAAGTAACAGATGGCGAGAACAGCCGCAGACCACGGCAGCCAGTGAACACCAATGCCCTACAACAGACCCGCGCAATATCCCGGGACACCCCTCGCGCGACCCTTTCCTCTCGCAAGGTCCAAGGCCCTTAAATACGGGGTAAAGTCACCAAGTGAATTGCTTGCATTTGGCTGACCCGCTACATGACGTCAATGGGAGTAATTTCGGGACTGACTCGGTGGGAACACGGAGTAGCCAGCCGAGATCTGGGCTACCGCACGCCTTGGGCTATATCCCAATTTTAGCAGATACAACGTCGAGTCTATGCCATATTTTAATAGATGTGAAGGAATCAATCATGAGAAGTTGATATGCATGATTTGGTTTGGGGTCATCGACCATAAGCACCGCGATAAATTCACTCACTTTTAAATGCAAAATGGAACAGAAGCCAACTTGAGCAATTTATGAGAAAAGTACTGACGACGCGTATTTGAATATTGTCGTACCAACTGGTAAAACATGGTTTTAATTTGATAGCTAACTTATCGATAAAAGACGCAAATGTACCTGAAAAAAGCGAGGCTCACCTTATCGGCACTAAGATGCTCGCTCCACTGTGGAAATGAGGTCAATTTCCGATTAAATGTGTGGCCCCTTTCACACCTGCTATAATACATTTTTCACTCATGGCATCAGACGGGGTGCTGCAACCACCTCAAAGTCTACAGTGTCGCCGTCCCCGACGCGGCCGCCACCGGAGACAAGGCAACAGCCATCGTCGCCGCCCCAGACGCTCCTCCGCCACTCTGTGAGACCGTCAAGAGCGGTCGCAGGGGCCGGACAGGCCAGTGGTTGCACCACCACATGGTCTGCTGGTCAGGCGTACCAGGTAGCGTCACCGCCTGCCGATGCCTGTGAGCCCCGCCTCTCCCTCCTCCACTCTTACCAGTTCCACAGTTTTACAGGCCTGTCTTTGCCATAGCGCTCGACTGTGGCAGGACTGGAACTGTGCTGCTGTCTGGTTAGATGCATCGACTGCTGGTTGCTGTGCGATGAAGAGTGTTCCACATTTGCATGGGATTTTGAACTGAGATGGCCATTTTGAAGACCATTCAGTGCAGTTCACAGTCCTGCCCTTTTAAAGACTTAGGGCATTCTGGATCCTGAGCTGGAGGCTCACGAACTTGTGCAGACTGTCGCATGCAAACTATTTCAACGTCACCCAGGCATTCATGACGTCATAGAAGCGTCACACAAATCTGACCACCATATTGGACATGTAATGCTCAATGTCACGAAAAATATTACCATCGATATTTTGTGTGCGGCGTACGTCAGCACGATTTCTGATATCAACGGACTTTTATTGGCCCTGAATCAAGATACGCTTGGGTTGTCTGGTTCTTCGGGTCAGAGCCCTTTCGACCAGAAAGGATCATTTCAAGGCTATGGGATGAAGGATAATGGTTAGCGGTGGGGAAGGCCTGCATGCAGCGGGGGGGAAGGGGGCAACCGCCGAGCTTTAACCCGCGCGTGTGCGCTGGGTATCCGGTCGGAGTCCCACTTCCCACGGTGCCTCTCGGCCCACTCGTGGTTGACGCATAAGCCAGACTCTTCATCATGTACTCGTCCCGGCGCGTGCTCACCGTTGTCATCTCCTGTGACCTCTCGATTAGCTCCATCTGTCGATAGGCGTGTCGCAGGCCCAGCTTGCAGAACAGCTTGAAGCGGACGCCTGCAAACACGCCGTCTGGCGTCGGCAGTAGATGGTTCTTGACGAGCTGGGGGTTGACTGTCAAGCTGCGACTCGCGCAGAGTCTTACGCCTCCTGATGACTTCGGTACTGACACCAGCGGCGTGCCCCACTCGGAACTCACTTCTGACGGATCGGCCTCTCTCGCGACTCCTCCACTAACCCACGGCTCCAGTGCTGATTTCACCTGCGGTAGCAGCGCGTTCGAGGCTGGCCGTGACAGCAGCTGCTGCGGCGTCGCCTCCGGCTTCAATGTCAGGTGTGCCCCAGCCCTTCAGAGAACACCTCCGAGTGCGCTGCCACCTCAGACTCCAATGGTCTGCTGACCGCTTGCTTGGTGGATCCCGAAGATTGAGTGCCAGTCGAGTTGGATTTCCTTCTGCGAACCACACCCCAGGAGAGGCTAGTGTCCGAGCTGGTCGCTCACCACTACGCCGAGACGTTTCCGCTTGCTTCTGTGTTCTATCTCGACAGCCACCCCACCCCGGACTGAAACTGCCTGTCGAGTGAATGACCGCAGCTTCAGCTCGACTTTGTCAGGTGCAGATCGGGGAGGTTGCCGGCTGACAAGATTGATGCCGATTACCCGGTATCCACCAGCATCTCTGTCGGCCTCCCGTTAATCGTCAACGCGACCAGCGGCAGCCGGTCCCGCTGAGGGCAGTAGCGGCGGCATCCTCGTCACCACGTCTTCTTCTGATGCAACCTGGCCGTGCAGCGGGCAGTCCCGCTTCATGTGGCCTGCGTCGCCATACTCGAAGCAGCGTCTGGACCTGGGTGGCACGCCCCTGCTGCCTCGCTTCTGCGCGTCTCTCCCGTCTTGCCCGATTCTTCTAGCTGTCCTGCCGCGTCCTCCGTTCCGTCAGCTGCTTTTCGCCGGGCCGGTCGGATGGAGGTCGTCACGCTCACAAGAATTGATCGAAGTCTTCGTCCGGACGCATCGTCAGCTGATGAAAGGCCCATCTTGTCCATACCGCGTCGTTTTACCGGCGACAGACGCGCCGTCAGCATCTGTTTTAATGTACCAAAACAGTCATCTGTTACGGCCTCCTCCGCCGGTAACGTCTCGCATGAATCCGCGAGATGCAATAACACCGCGCGTTTCCACTCCGTGTCCTCTTTGCCCACCGCTAGCAAGTACCGCCCAACCCCGCGGAGCCACTTGTCGAAGTCTTCACCCGTCCGGTGCGTCCCTACAGCCGGTAACTGCATTCCCGGTAGCTCCATTGCTCGCGCTGTAGCTTTCCACGCGCCGATCAGCTGTTCTATCCCAGGCGCGCCGACCGCCGTCGTTTTCCCACGTTCCGATCAGATGTCTGCCTCTGACTGTCAGCCGCCGCACAGCTGGATCACGTGCGGTTCCCGGCCGCGCAGGTCACTCCGCCGCTGGCTGCTGGCGAGCAGTGGCCGCGAAGAACTGCGTCCCAAAGTGGCAGCGCGCCGCAATGACCGGAACCACAACCAAGCGGCTTACCACCGGCATTTCCGCTCACCAACTCACCCGTTGCCGTGTCCGCAGCAGCACTCACTGGTTAGTTACGACGTCCTGAGGCCGGGAAACACGCCGTTACTCTCTACCAGAGCGGTAAGTGTCAGCTCACCGAGCCCAAAACACCGGTAATGCACAGCTGTCGGGCTATTTTGGCACCCTGCTTGGGCTCACTGCAAACCCATACTCTTGGTAACATATTTATGGAACCTTGACTCTATCTCTATTCCACAGATGGGGCCCTACTGGCAGGTTACGCTGTCCGGTGCCAGGGCTCCTGATCAGGAGCCCTGGCCCTGGCGGAGACGCTGGTTGCGACGAGGAGACGCGACCCTGGTGCTGGCAAAGGTGATGGCGTCCTTGCGGGGTGGCTGGCCCGGCAGCTTCGAGCCGGCGCTGACAGCCTGCTGACGACGCAAGGAGGAACTGTCAACTGACGGCGAGTGCCTGGTGTGTGGCGCCGGCTGCCATCCCTCAGCGGCTCAGAGCTGGAGTGCTGCGTGACTTGCACGAAGGACATCTGGATAGCTCGAAAAGGAAAAACCTGACGCGCCGATTCGTGTGGCGGCCGGGACTGACGTCGAGCTGGGCGGACTGGCGCGATTGCGCTGGCTGCGTGGGGAAGCGGGGGGCGCCGCCACGCAGCGAGGCGCACCCGTGGGAACCTGCCGAGGGGCCGTGGAGGCGTGTGCACGTGGACCTCGCGGGACCGTTCGGGCCCCTCTTCGGGCCTCATCAAATTCGTCCCTTGGTCGTCTCGGGCCCTTGCGAGCAAAGGGCGCTCTGATAGGAACTGTAAGTCCCTGACAGATACAAGGCCCCCGACCAGTGTAAATCGCTGGCCCCGGCTTTATAGCTGATTGGGAAGTGGGCCCTCGGGCCATACCGACGCGGAGCCGACTGTGCGGTGCTGATAGTACCTGACCGACATATCTGCCCATATCGACTCAGGGTGTCCCGATCGGCTCCAAGGGTCCTCTGACCGCCATTTGAGAGCCTGTCTTCGCAGGCCGGGACCTCTGAATAAGACTCCGAACAGCCCTTTATGCCCTTAGACCCTCGAATCGCGCAATTGATCGTCGGACCTGGTGGGCCCCCGTAGGCTTTTGGGCCTCCTCGAGCACTGCCTCTGGCCGACAACACAACTTGACACCACACTTGACAACAGAGGACACCTCTTAGGGTCTGTTGGGCCCCGAGCAATGTGAATCGTTGACTCCTGCTTTGTTCCTGCTTGGGGAACGGGCCCTTAGGCCCTTTCCGCCACGGAGCCAACTGTGCATTACAGGTAGTGTCTGACTCAAATATAGTCCCTTAGTGACTCAGTGGGTTCGTGATCAGCACGCAGGGCCCTCTGGCTGGCATTGGACTGCCCGGTCCCGTGGGCCGGTGCCCCTGAATGGGACCTCCAGCCGGCCTTTCGAGGCCTTAATCTTAGGTTCCGAGGGGCCCTTCAAGCCCCTCGGAACCTAACTGGTGGGGGAGACGGGGGGGGGGGGCACGTGCCCCTGTGCCCCCTGCCTGCACTACTGAATGAGTTGGCCTGTTCACGGGCTCTTCACTTACGTTTGTGATTGTTCTTGATCGTCTGGAGGCGCAAAGACGTCCAATATTGTTGTGTTTTGTGTTTGAAAACTGTGTCCGTTCGCGGTTCCGTGCCCCCTCCCCCTCTGGATCTCCCACTGGCCCGAGCAGCTTCATAGATGGGGCCCAGACAGGGACATCCATCCATTCAACTAAAAAGCACCCTAGACACCATAAGGAGAGCCCAGAACTGATCAAGTATACCGGAGCAACTTAACAGATGGGGGCCCCCGACAGCAGCGTGGGACCGTCCATTAAAATGGGAAGCACCCAGGACCAGCAATGCAGTGCCCCAGAAAGACCGATTGTGTCAGAGCAGGTCAACAGAAAGGGCTGGACAAGATCACAGGGCCCATCATTCAAATGGAAAGTACTCAAGAGCCAACGAAGAGGACCCCCGAACGATCAAGCGTGCCAGAGTAGGTTATCAGGAGAGGTCCCGATAAGAGCGTGGGGCCCTCCATTCAAATAAGAAGTAGCCAAGACCTAGTGTGGAGGCCCCCGAAAAACTGAGTATACCCGTGCACACTATCAGATAGTCCCTGATAGTGGCGAAGAGTCCTACATTCAAATACCAAAACTCAGTGTGCAGAGCCCCCGAAAAAGCAACGTTCCTGTAGAGGTGAACAGATGGGCCCCCGGTAAGTGCGCAGGGCCCTCCATTCAAATAGGCAGTACTGAAGACACCATGTTGAGGTCAACCGAACGATGGAGTGTCCTCGAGCAGTGTAACAGGTCAGACCCCCGACAAGAGCATAGGACCCTCCATTCAAATAAGAAATGCCCGCGGCACAATAAATATGGTCGCCAAACGACCGAGTGGGCCAGAGTAGATTAACAGATAGGACCCACGACAAGGGCGTAGGGCTCTCCATTCGAATGAAAAGCACCTAGGACCCAGTATAAGGGGCCTCTGAACGACCAAGTGTGCCTGAGGCAGGTTAACAGATAGGCCCCCGACAAGAGCGTAGGCTCTCCATTCAGATAGAAAGTACCCAAGACCTAATGAAGGGGGCCCCGAACAATGGAATGTGCTCGAGCAGGTTATGCAGGTTGTCAGACGGGGCTCCCGATAGGAGCGTACGTCCCTCCATTCAAATAGAAAGCGACAAAGACACGATGTGGAGGGCCAACGAAAGATCGAGTGTGCCCAAGCAGGCTATTAGATGGCCCCGACATGAGGGGGGAGCCCCACATTAAAGTACCAAAGCCCAACGTGCAGGGGACAGCAACACTTCACCGGCATCCCTGCAGCCAAGCTCAAACTACGGAACCACTGGTCCGATTTTTCTTCAAACCAACAACGATCGAAAGTTGGCATGCAGTTTCATTCGCCGTTCTGAAACTGGTGACTTTAGGTCACCATCTTCACCTTCAAAACCGCTTAAACCACTTTAGGGCATTGCAGCCAGGTCCAAACTCGGAAACTGCTCAACCGATCTGCAACCGATCTGAGTAGTGTATGTTTTGGTGTTGTCTGTACCTGTAACGCGCGTGTCGGTTGTACACGTTTGTGGTGCACACACCACTTATGTAAACACGACGCATTTTGGCATTGATTTAAAAAAATGCGACTGCCTTAACCACAAGTGTCGAACAGGAAGAAAAAATCTGAGATCACCAAATTCAGAACGGCTGATGAAATCGTACAAGCGCTATCTTCTGGTGGAGGTTCCAGTTAGATCGGTTGAACGGTTTCCGAGTTTGGACTTGGCTGCAATGCCCTCAAGTAGTTAATGTGGCTTTTGAAGGTGAAGATGGTGACCTGAGGTCATCAGTTTCAGAACGGCTGGTGAAACTGCATGCTAGCTTTTGATTGGAGCTGGTTTGAAGGAAATCTGACCTGCGGTTCCGTAGTTTGAACTTGGCTGCATAGATGGCGGTGAAGTAGTGTAATCCATGTGCAGGGCTCCCAAGCAGTTAGTGCACCCTGATCAGGTTACCAGATAGGGACCCCGACAAGTGCATAGGGCTCTCAATTCAAATAGGAAATACCCAAGACCCAATTTGGAAGGCGTGAACGACCCAGTGAGCCCAAGTAGGTTAACAGATGGGCCCCCGACAAGAGCGTAGGGCCCTTAGCGAGTGACAGAACATTGGAAAGGCCCTAGACCAATGTAGAGGGCCCGTGAGCTTATCGTGAGTGTGCCGGCATGCTAACCGTGACCAACGAAAAGGACCCCTGAGCAACCGAGAATACCCCGCCATGTCAACGCATGCCCCCCCCCCCCCCCCAGCCCGGCTCCAGCATGTGGAGCGTTTCGGGTGAATGTAAAGAATCCGTGGATGGTTTCTAATTGACAAGAAGTGCCCCGGCACGCCAGCAGGAATGGCCCCAACAACAGTGCGAAGCCCTCCCAGCAAATGCAAAGAAATCAAGAGCAGCATAGAAGGCTGCTTAACGATCAGGTTGACCATGCAAGGGGGCATATAGAGCCCCAGAAAACACCGCAGAGCGCTGTCTACTCGTGGGCCCTTCGCTTTTAAGTGCGACTGTCACTGGCCGCCTGGAAGCCCAAAGACGTCCAATCTTGCCGCAATCTGTGTAAAAAAAAAACTGTTTGTTCGCTTGGCTATGGGTCCTCTTAGGGCCTATGGATCCCTTCAGGCCCAAGTGGGCCATGACCCCGTGCTCCCCCTTGGATCCGGCCCTGGTAACCGTAACGGTGCTTCAAACCAGCTCGAACATCAGGAGACAACGATGCTGGGCGAGGTGAGCGAATGGCAGGAAGTCAAACTTCCAAGTTCTTTCAAGTGTACGGTTCTGGTCAGATTACCAGCGGCGGATCCCATCAAATTAAATGTTTTGGGTTTGACATACCAAGCAAAGTTTTGACCTTCCACAGCCAACGAGGGTAAGCAGTGAGAAGAGTAGAGCCAAAAAAGCACGCAGTGACCCTAAATGACCCATCTGACATCTTAGCAAACCTGCACAGACTGGGGGTGTAGCTTGACAAAATTAGTTGGGTAAAGAGAGCCGAACAGTAAAAAGAACGGTCCCCTTTGCTCCAATAAGTAGGTTTCGCCACGGATTTTGGTTACTCTCGTCGCAATGTTGGGGGCGGGAGCACAAGTGGAAGAGGGGGTGGGGGGAGGGGGTAGTATTGCGCTCAGCGGCTGCATACTGCACCCCTTTCTGCTCCACAACTGCCACAAGGCGACGACCTGGCGCCGGAGTCCAGCGGCACCAATGGAGTGGCTGTGCTTCAGTGCGCAGCGAAACTCACATGTGAGATATTTGCGTTTGTCTTTGAGTGTATCTAGTACGCCCCACCACCTGTCAGCAAATTCGCGATGCACTCGATGCAGATAACCTGAGGTCCTCAGCTTATTGGGTACGTACTCAGTGCCTGCTAGATTGGCCGGTGATTTGGAAGACAGTATACAAGTGCTTATTCCTCCCCCTGACATGCCGTTTTTCATAACACGGCCCACTAGGGGAGGGGG